TCTTCTGAGATACACACATTCCTGAGATGGCTTTACAGAACATTGATAAACAAAGAAAATATTCTTCTGAGATACACACATTCCTGAGTTCGCATTACGGAACATTGATAAACAAAGAAAATATTCTTCTTAGATACACACATTCCTGAGTTCGCTTTACAGAACATTGATAAACAAAGAAAATATTCTTCTGAGATACACACATTCCTGAGTTCGCATTACGGAACATTGATAAACAAAGAAAATATTCTTCTTAGATACACACATTCCTGAGTTCGCTTTACAGAACATTGATAAACAAAGAAAATATTCTTCTTAGATACACACATTCCTGAGTTCGCTTTACAGAACATTGATAAACAAAGAAAATATTCTTCTGAGATACACACATTCCTGAGTTCGCTTTACAGAACATTGTTAAACAAAGAAAATAATCTTCTGGCAAACACAGATTCCTGAGATTGCTTTACAGGAACATTAATGAACAAAGAAAATAATCCGACACAAACAGAATGATGTCTTTACAGAACAATGATGAACAAAGAAAATTATATCTTGACACACACATCCTTGATTATCCATAGAATTGTATCTCTAATCTATTGTGATAAATACTTTGTTTCAAAAGTGAAGTCCCCACCTCCCTAGATTCTATCTCTAACTTACCACAAAATGTCTCTCTGTCATTTGAATGAATGGCTCTCTTTAGCTTTTTGCTTTTCAAATGGGGCTTAAGACAAGTCTATGGCAGATGGGTCCAAGGTATTACAGAATAGAGATATGGGACACTGGGTAATCGAGGTTGGCAAGGTTACTGCTATGATACTTTCCAGTCACCCATTACAGCTAGTTGTTGAGACAAAAAGGGTTAAAATTGCTGTGACATTTCACTGGCATTTCGTTGCCCCAAGTCCTGAGTCTGATTCGATATTATGTGGGTGAGCTATACATGTTTGTACAATACGTGTGATGGTCCAGAGGTCACTAATGACATTGTGTCACTGACTCTTGTTTGTTTGTTTAACCCCGCACTCAGCAATATTCCAGCTATATGACTGCGGTCTGTAAATAATCGAGTCTCGACCAGATAATCACTGCTGGGATATCATTGTGTTTGTCAGGTGAGCTACAGATGCCATGGAACTTGTCGGGGTATATTTGTATTGATGATGGCAGTGTCTGGTTGTATTTGACAGACACTCATTAGAATTGTGAAAGAATGTTTGATTAAGTTAAAAGGGTGGAGTGAAAATGCAGAGGATCTCTTTCATCTCAGCTTGGACATGCACAGACAGACATAAATCTGAACTAAACGTAATGACACATTATCGTTTAATGTTTTCCACACCATCTATAACCAGTGTCTAGTGGAAGGTAAACAGCCACATATTGATAATAGCCGTGGTTGGGAATACAATGAAATGGATTCAGGTTTACAGAATGATGTCAAATATGAGAGCGTGATTAGGATTAGCCAGTGTGATTGCATGTACATTCTACTATAATTATGGAATCTGACTGTCTGCCCAGAACTTGTAATGGTTCAATATCGATTTTGTGAAATTTTGTATACATTGTGCAAGTGCTGAACTGGTGCCTCTTGCTATTCAGGAATGTTTTAGTGTTTTTATTTCTAGCCTGACCAAGTCCAACTTGGGTTCATTTGATGATAGGATTTATTTCTGGAGCTGTTCGACATTTATTTGTTGAACTTTCTAAGAAAGTGCTGAACTGGTGTCTTGACTTTTTTATATTTTGTGCTTCCCTGCCATCAAGATCAAATGAGGGTATGAACTCATAAACATTTGATTATTTTACATGAGGTTTTTTTTCAAAACATGAACCTAGTCTGCAGAGAGATCGATAGAAATGGCAATAATTATCCTGCAGTCATCCCGGGGCCATGGTGGTCACTTCTTGGGTATTTGTATCTATACTCATTGCAAGAAGTCACTTATCATATCCTTATTCATCATACTGTAATATTCTGGAACATAAGTCAAAACTTTGAATGTGTACTGGTGTTAAATTTTAAGATTACCCTCATTTGTTTTGTTAATGATTTTGAAACTAATTCTGCTCCCCACGTTTTATGTTCTTCATATACTAATGGTGGACAGTCTGGTTGTTTTCATACCTCCTTCAGAATGTACTGCAGTTGAAGGGGAATGATTACTGAGATAGACTTTTGTTTCCATTCCTTCTGTAGAATGTACTGCAGTTGGAAGGGTAAGCAGTATTGAGATGGACTTTTGTTTTCATTCCTCCTGTAGAATGTACTGCAGTTGGAAGGGTAAGCAGTATTGAGATGGACTTTTGTTTTCATTCCTCCTGTAGAATGTACTGCAGTTGGAAGGGGAAGGATCATTGAAATGGACTTTTGTTTTCATTCCTCCTGTAGAATGTACTGCAGTTGGAAGGGGAAGGATCATTGAAATGGACTTTTGTTTTCATTCCTCCTGTAGAATGTACTGCAGTTGGAAGGGGAAGGATCAATGAAATGGACTTTTGTTTTCATTCCTCCTGTAGAATGTACTGCAGTTGGAAGGGGAAGGATCATTGAAATGGACTTTTGTTTTCATTCCTCCTGTAGAATGTACTGCAGTTGGAAGGGGAAGGATCATTGAAATGGACTTTTGTTTTCATTCCTCCTGTAGAATGTACTGCAGTTGGAAGGGGAAGGATCATTGAAATGGACTTTTGTTTTCATTCCTCCTGTAGAATGTACTGCAGTTGGAAGGGGAAGGATAATTGAAATGGACTTTTGTTTTCATTCCTCCTGTAGAATGTACTGCAGTTGGAAGGGGAAGGATCAATGAAATGGACTTTTGTTTTCATTCCTCCTGTAGAATGTACTGCAGTTGGAAGGGGAAGGATCATTGAAATGGACTTTTGTTTTCATTCATCCTGTAGAATGATTATTGAGGTAGGCTTTCATTAGGCCCTAGATCTACATTATAGATTTCTTTGTTTGCAGATCTGCTTTTAAAAAAAATAAAAAATGCAGAAATGTCCATCAAAATGTCAGATTTTTCATTCTTGATAATTTGTAGGAACCAAACCATGCAGGCCAAGATTTTGAAAACTTTAAATTATTATTCTTATCACCTGCAATCCAAATCATACTTTAATGATAACAAAACATTTTGTACACTGGAGGGCCTGCTTCAGCTGTATGAAAGATGCACAAGTGCAACCTGTTGTTGACCATCATACCACTCCTGATACAGTTTGGTAATGCAAGCTCTTCTCTTCATATCTGAACCATACGTAAGACTTCAATGATATATTTCATCCTAGCTTCAATGCTAATGAATGCTGTATCTTCTGCCTTTTAAAGTAAATGAGATACTTCATCTGATGACAAACTACATCTAAAGTTCATGGACACATGCAAATCCGAAAGAATCATTAATAATTCGATCAGTTTCAATCTTTTCAGTTGTGTGAAATCTACATAAATCAACTGTGAGGGAAAGATGTGACTCAACGCGTGAGCATATGTCAAATCTAATAAATGCACAGAGGAACTCAGATGAACATATTATGTAATCAACCATGCTAGCATCTTGATTTCCTACAAAATGTCAGAAGTTAAATCCCCCCTATCTGATCCACATCTTCCATTCTTAATGTGATGTTTAGAATACTGCGAACATCTAACAAGCATTTACCAACCTGTTCATAGTTGAATCTACCGAAAATCTTTTCATGCTAAAACTATCCAACAAAAATCCCACCTGTTGTTACCATTGCCTTCGAGGTACTGAAGGATATCGTCTTCAACAAAATCAGGTAGTGTGCCAGTTCTAGAGTTAAAATCACCTCCGATGATGATATACACATCATGACATTCAGATGGCATATACAGCGGATCGTCTTGCAATAGTAATATATTGCAAATATATCGCAAAGGGTTATTATACCAGGTTGAAAACTCTGGATGAATATATCCATATGCATACAACAGGTCTTTCTTTAAACCACATATATCCTTATCTAGTAAAATAAATATACCACTATCACACACTTTGGTCCATTTTACTTTTACTCCACCTGAGAGTCGTCCCAAGGTAGACATCTGCTCGCCACCTATTGTGTATATGTTAAAGTCACTGAATGTACCACTCACCTCTGTCTCCTTCAACCATGTTTCAGTTAGCCCAACAAATAACATTAGTTAATAAACTCATAATCGTCCAGCTTGGATTTGAGTAGACATGTTCCAGAAATTTTATGGTTCCAGTCAACAAAGGGGAAATTGTAGGTGAACCTGTATGACACACCCTACAATCATCTAGGCCCCACCTTCCTATATAATGTTTCTGCTGGGACGGGGTGATCCGAGGCCGACAGTCAATTCAGTTTGTTTCACCCTGCCTCCGATTGCCCTTGTTCCTGGTTCCAGCATATTTTGGTCTGACATCAGTATCCTGGGGATGTGCAGGACTATCTCTTCTCTCTGTGTCACATTTTATGTCCTCAGCAATTTTTCCTCCTTTGCCAAAAACAATTTTATTAGGATTTTCAGCACGTAATCTGTGAAATTCACGTCATTGTTTATATGTTATGTCACTAGCTACACCGAATCCTATCTCTCTCTCAGTATACCTCTCATGCTCATCACCAGCATCTTGGCTGTCCAAGTTATTTACACAGTGAGTGGGTGTGGATTGTTATCATTCCTTATAGTGAGTGAGTTCGGTTTTACACTGCTTTTAGCAATATTTCAGCAATATCACGACGGGGACACCAGAAATGTTTGGCAGACCATCTGAGACAAAACCAGGATGTTTGGCAGACCATCTGAGACAAAACCAGGATGTTTGGCAGACCATCTGAGACAAAAACTGCATGGTTGGGCAGGTGGATTAAACAGTGTATCATGTGATTGTTCCCAACACTGACTTAATCATTGCATCAGTCAGTTTGGGAAGTGTGACCAAACTCACAAGAACACAGTGTAGAGTTCCTGCTAATGTCTGTTACTGGTATTGCAGGAGCTGGGAAACACTTAGTCGAGAAGTTGAGGCGGAGCGAGCAGAGGCGCCAGAAACGGTTACGCTACTCCCCCAGCGACTCACAGCTGGAGATCAACAGACATCATTATTTCCGATACCGGCACAATAGCGGAGATGCTTCCAAAGACACGCCTACTAAGAGTGTAGAATGGGAAGGTAATAAGTCAAGCTGTATACCTGCTGGTCCGAATGTACCACTCAACCTTGGATAGGAATTACCAGATCTGATGTGATTCTATTTTGATATAAACTTCATATATTATGCTAATGAGTCCTTGAGACTGGTGAGTCCTTGGTGATAGATAAATGAATGGTTGACAATTATGACTAGGTGATTGGTGAATTTTAACCTTAACAGTTGACAATTGTATCTAGATGATTGGTGAATATTAACATGAACAGTTGACAATTATGGCTAAAAGATAGGTTAATATTAACATGAATGGTTGCCATTTAGGGCTAGATGACTGAAGAAAGGATATATGAAACCCATCTGGGAAAGCATGAAACGACTCATATGCAAACCTCATCAAAGGTTTTGTTTTTGCAGAGGACCTCCACACTATAAAAACCAAACGACCACTCAGTTTGCCCAAAAACCTCTTCCGAAATGGAAATGCCAAGCGAGGTTCCGCTCCTTGGAAGAAACCTGGACAGTCAACCAGCTCAGATCAGACATCTCCCACCAAGTCGTCACCTCCGAAGTCTTTGCCAACCACAAAACCTCCAAGCCAGATGCCGGACCAGTACAAGTCTCTACCACCAGGTCTCGGAAATGATGCCATCCTGGCATCTATTCCTGGAAATGGAGAATTATTAGGTAGGAGTTGCTTAATTATTCTGATATGAAACCTCTTTGTACAATAGCATCCACATATCATAAGTTTATGACTGAATGTTTTTAATGGACAAAAACAAGTAAGGTTGCTCTCTGAAAAAAGACATCATGTCCAATCACAACTCAGTTGTGACCTTCTCTGCCTTGATGAACGGTAGTTCACAGTTGACTGTATGGATGATGTGTTCATGACTTGATGTTCACTGAAAGAGCAAATACCGTATTCGATGTAACGCCCCGCTCTAATAAGCGCCCAGGGCGATATTTGCTAATATATTGGCTGGTGAACAATCCCAATTAGCACCCCTACTGATTGAGCAATGTACACAAGACTTATTTATTCGTGTATAATATGTACTCGTGTTTTTATGCACCCTTAATTATGGGCAATTAAATTCTGGAAAAATATATTTGTCGTATATAAACATGTCAGGCTGTCAGCATAAACCCCAAAATTTACAATCTTTCACCTGTTTTTTCACCAAAATAATATTCTAATAAGAGCCCCCTATTTCTAATTTTGAGAGCTCCCTTGGCGCTTATTACGTTGAATACGGTATATCTTGTTTATCCTTGTTGCTGAATTCAGTTCCACTGTTAGGCATGCAATATGTGGAGGAGGGTCCTGAAGAAAGGTTCATCCATTACTGTACTGAAAAGAATATTATTCTTCCCGTGCACATATGCATTTTTTCCAATATTGGAAAAGTTCCATTTTCCATGACCCTACGCCAAATTATGTGTTTTCTTTTCACAACAAACTCATTTTTAGTGACCACCATAAGATTATCTCTGTGAGTGAGTGAGTGAGTGAGTTTGGTTTAACGCCGCTTTTAACAGTATTCCAGTTATATTGCGGCGTGTGAGCTTAATGTTGGAGGAAAGCCTGAAGTGATGCAGGTCTCAGATGTTTACCACTTCATTGAAACCCAAGAACATGGGTATGGTGCTGACAAACCAAGAAACATAATCGGGGTTCGAACCTACAATCATAGGTTTCTGGCGTGCTCAAGGGATGCAACTCTGCACAGCGAATCGCAGCGACTGTGCCCCCTGTGCCCCCTAGCACCCCACAGCCAGGCCCCAGGCCTGCAGCCTGTCTATTCTAATAGCCTGAAATATATAGATTTTGAATAATATGCATAACAGGCCACTGGAAACTGTATTTCAGACACACCAGTGTTTGAACATTCTGTGGACGAGTTGGAAGAATGGAAACAGACGACTCTGACTGGCGCCAACATCCCCTTCAGCCCCTCTGACCCACGCAGGAACAGTCTAGACAAAGTTGGCAACACTCTGGACGAGCCTAGAGGTACACACACATCAGACATATTGACAAACACAGCAGACATATTGACACACACAGCAGACACATTATCACGTAAGGCACACGTTATCACACTGCACACACATTGAAACACCCACATTATCACCCACCACACACATTGACACAAAGCATGCACATTATCACACACCACACACATTGACACATAGCACACATAATCTCACACAACACACACAGAGATTTCTTATGATTGTGGAACTGAATTTTGTCGCTTTCTAATTCACATCATTGAAAGCCCTTTGTATCACTTCATTACAATTTCATTAAATGAAATTGGCCACAAGAACTACTCCTTAAGCTAAAAAAAATAAAAGTCTTGGTATACAGTTCGCCACATGTTTCGTTTTTATTTCCATTTTTTTTTAAAAACCACGAAAATTCTTAAATATTCCAAGTCCAAATGGTAGTCAAATACTGTATTCCTGTATTTTACTCATCAAGGAATACATTTATGTAAGAAGGCCCTTTCCCGGGTTGGTTGTATGCAATTGTTTATTTGGTTACACAACTGTTTATTTGGTTACATACTAGTTTAAACAACCACAAAAAAAAGACACCACCCGCCCGCACTATTTTTTCAGAAACCTTTGCCTGAGAACCAGTTCTTTTAAGTTTTTAACCTTCTCTGTCTTGTTTTGAAGTGTTGAGCACACAGGCAATATCCTTGTCTCAGAACAGATAATTATTTGTTATGAAATTTTATAGTCAGTCTATAATTCCCCACTTTTGCTTATATTCAGGAAAATGGCTAAGAAAATACTCTCCAGTGAAAAGGGAACACAGAGATGATCATTTCCGAAAAGGAACCAGATCCTTGACTGACTCCTTCACAGATTCTGGGCAGTCCTTTGGCTCTGAGGTAAGACTCAACATTTGTAGGAAAGCGTGTTGAATGACTCATTCAGAGTCAGGATAGTTTTTTAGCTCTAAGATAAGTCTCACCTTGCCCAGTACACCAGGTCATGCCTGACTTCTTCACAGAGCCTTTACAGTCCTATAGCTCTGAGGTAGGACTCATCCTGCCCAGTACACCAGGTCATGCCTGACTTCTTCACAGAGCCTTTACAGTCCTATAGCTCTGAGGTAGGACTCATCCTGCCCAGTACACCAGGTCATGCCTGACTTCTTCACAGAGCCTTTACAGTCCTATAGCTCTGAGGTAAGACTCACCCTGCCCAGTACACCAGGTCATGACTGACTTCTTCACAGAGCCTTTACAGTCCAATAACTCTGAGGTAAGACTCCTCCTGCCCAGTACACCAGGTCATGACTGACTTCTTCACAGAGCCTTTACAGTCCTATAGCTCTGAGGTAAGACTCACCCTGCCCAGTACACCAGGTCATGAATGACTTCTTCACAGAGCCTTTACAGTCCTATAGCTCTGAGGTAAGACTCACCCTGCCCAGTACACCAGGTCATGAATGACTTCTTCACAGAGCCTTTACAGTCCTATAGCTCTGAGGTAAGACTCACCCTGCCCAGTACACCAGGTCATGGCTGACTTCTTCACAGAGCCTTTACAGTCCAATAACTCTGAGGTAAGACTCCTCCTGCCCAGTACACCAGGTCATGACTGACTTCTTCACAGAGCCTTTACAGTCCTATAGCTCTGAGGTAAGACTCACCCTGCCCAGTACACCAGGTCATGGCTGACTTCTTCACAGAGCCTTACAGTCCTCATCACCAAGTGGTGATAATATTATGGTGTTATAAAAGCTCAGAACATTAAAAGGCTGTTGATGCTCCAGATGACCACTTCAGAGTCTTTATGCAATATTGACTATTTCTTGCTACCATTTGGTTGTAAAGTTATTATCCCAACCGGGGGCCAAGGCACCATAATTCACTGTGCAGTGTTGCATCCCTTCAGCACAACAGAAACCTATGGTTGTGGGTTCGAATCCCAGTTTGCCCTAATTATGTTTCTAGGGTTTCGTAGGTTTCACCAAGGTGGTAAACATCTGAGACCTGCATCACTTCAGGCTTACCTCCCACATTAAACTGACACGCCGTCATATAACCGAAATACTGTTAAAAGAGGTGTTAAATCCAACTCACTCAGACTATTATACCAACCTCATGGCTAAATATTGATCAAAATATTGTTTCGGGATTTTATGTCTATGATGATAGGTGAAGAAATAACACTGATGTATGACAGTTGTGCAATAAAGAAATGTCTATCTTAAGTGATACATGATATGTGATTTTCTTATACATAGGTTTCAAACAGAAGCCCGTTTTCAGAATCGGGTAAGTACTAGTTTGCTGCGTGTGTGTAATGGGATGATGTTTCTGAGTTCTAATGGGGGTTGAAAAAACTACTGAATGATAACTTATTAACCAGAATTCATTTTAAAGGTATTAAACAAATGTTACATTTGGAGACCCGTAAAGCTATCTTCTATGAATACACAATGCCATTTAGAAAGTGGTCAAATGTAACAAATGTTATATTTGGGATAACACTTTCTTAGTAAACTACAGATTCTCGTACTTTTTGGGGGTTGAGTCCCGTCCGGAATTCGAACCCACACTTGCCAGAGTGAGGCACCTAATAGCCAGCACACAAAGTCAGCGATCTAACCCACTCAGCCACCGAGGCTTTCACAAAAATGAAGGTCTGACAACTGGTACTCCAGATCACGTAACTTTGTGTACCCCTCTGACAAGTGTTAATTGGCACGTCTCCCATGACCAAAAGCTATGAATACACATTGCCATTTAGAAAGTGGTCAAATGTAACAAATGTTATATTTGGGATAACACTTTCTTAGTAAAGTACAGATTCTCGTACTTTTTTGGGGTTGAGTCCCGTCCGGGATTCGAAGAAAGTGTTATCCCAAATATAACATTTGTTACAGGTATTTTCTAGTTAGTCACATGAGAAATGTGTGTATTTTGTATTGCAATTTTCTTCATGTGCAGGTACTTAGAGGCAATAAGATTATGTGAGGCAAGGAGTCTGATAGTTAGGCAGGCCAGATTGAAAATCTACTGCAAATCATGAAATTAATGCAAAAAAATGTAAGTGTCTCTTGATTGCATTAATAAATCGACACATTTTTATCTGGGCTTTTTTTAGTATATTTTGGACGTTTTGGTTCTCTGCACATGTGCGAAAAAAAATGATATGCATAACAAAGCTTATAATCAACAATGTTATTAACACTAGATTTAGGAAGTGCTTCTCACCAAGTTCCACATCAAGTGTTTGTTTACAATAGTTGATCAAGTAGTTCGCCAACCCTGTTGGCTTGGTACATCTTCTTTTGTAATCTTGTAAAATATTTTCAAGCAAACACTGCTTGATATTTATTTCATTGTCTTAACATGTTCAGATTATCCGAAAATATCGTAGTTTATTACCTATGAGGGCAAACTTATCAGGGTTCATAAAAATCATGTGTCATATCACGTCACGAGATAACAGTGTATTGTTTCCTTCATCCGGACGGCATTGTTGACGTCATTCGAATCTTATTGTGACGTGAAACACTAAAATTGATCTCTGTATGTAGACATCTTCTTCAGCCATAAATACAACACATAAACATATAAACACTCATGTCATATCCTCTATTTATTACCTGAATTTGTCTGCTTTATATGGTTAAATCTGTAGTTAGGAACTTCATTATGACTGAGCTGTTTGACAATGTTCTCAAAATATCAATCCAGCTGATTGTTCTGTCAGATTTTCAAAAGTATATTTTGTACATTGTATCAACATGTTAAATACATTGTTGTTATTTGATTTGTGTTCCTATTTCTAGGATTGGCAGCCATTATGTTTTGATAGATATGACCATTTATCTGAGGACACCTGTGAAGATCCATGTTAGAATAGGTCTTCAGCAACCTAGCTTGCCGTAAGAGGCGACTAATGGGATCAGGTGGTCAGGCTCGCTGACTTGGTTGATGCATGCATCGTATCCCAAATGAGTGGATCGATGCTAATGATATCAATCACTGCATTGTCTGGTCCAGGTTTGATTATTTCCAGACCACTGTCATATAGTTGGAATATTGCTGCGTGCAGTGTTAAACAACAAACAAACAAACACTTATCTGTGCTGGTGTTAGACCAAAAAATAGAAAGAAACAGAAATGTTTCCCTCCATCGTGAGCGGGACAACGATGTTTTCCCCCAGTTCAGAATTCAGGCACACTTTCCTATGGTGCCTTCAGTCTTCAGGCTGTATGCAATGGTACACTATGTACAAAACTATTACAGTTTGGTTGTTCCCAAGTTCATTTGGTTGTTCCCAAGTTCATGGAATGTAGTTTCAATACTGTCCTTGTTGGAACTAAATTCTCACTCTTATTTTAGGCCAGTGACTCTGGTTGTCTGCTTTTATTTGCTGTTTGTAAACAAGACCATGTACACAAAGATTAAAAAAACAAAAACATAAAAGGCTGGTCAGCTTGCCATTTTTTAAATCTGGAGACGATGAGAAACAATTTTTATTTTTTGGCTTGTGTTGTCTGCTGTGTACCCAAATCAACACACAGCCTTAGATGTCCCTCTGACCTACTTGTGATAATTCGGTTAAAAAAAATTCTGATAAAAAAAATATACCGGTACCTATTATCAGTCTAAACATTGAAAGAAAAAAGAAGTCAAGCAGGTTGCGTACACCATGAACTGCAGCACGTTAATACGAGACCTGTGAGCTAGTTGATATCAACAAGCTGTTGATGCTGATCTACGTAACGCATGTCATTAAGATTAGACCACTAAACATGCTTGTGATAGTTCTAATGTGTAAAGTGATAAAGTATATTTCTGTGGGAAAGGTGACCGCCTCCGTGGTCTTGTGGTAGAGCGTCTGCCCGGAGAGCGGAAGGTCCGGGGTTCGATCCCGGGCCACGTCATACAAAAAGACGTTAAAAGATTGTACTTGTTGTTACCCTGTCTGGCGCTCGGCATTAAGGGGCTAAAACAAGGACTGGTCGGCTCGGAGTCAGTATACTGTGTCTGAGTGGGGTATTCATGTTAAACTGCGGCATGGTATCTCAGTGAGCTAGCACTATAAATTGGCATCAGTCCGGACTAGTACAAGCAGCCACACACACACATACACGTGCATGCACGTCGCTATATAAGTGCAATAATCTTGGACGCGACGTCAAACCCAATTTCACCTCACCTCACCTGTGGGAAAGGTAATTCTGTTAGGTAGAAGTTGTACAAAAAGACAGTGAGGACATGGAGCATGTTATTAGAATATAGTTTAGATAATTAGATAGCGTTAGTCATGAGATGGGTTTGGAGTAGGAAGTGTCGTGCCGTGACAGATTAACTACGAGGGGTGTTCATTAAAGATTTCCCCTGAACCACTTAGGGTTATCATAGTTGTTTGTTTTTAGCATATGTGTAAGTTGGTATTCCTGCTGTCCAAAATGTCTCATTTTTATATAAATGCGATGTTTAATAATGCGACCAAAGGCCTTTCGCATTTTTCGCATTTAATACACGCTCGCGTTAATTTCAAGATTTACAGTACTTTGTTATGGCCTTGTGTTTTTTGGGATGTGTATCCATGTAGTTCACTGATGCACACGTGTGGTCTACGCCCTCATCACTACACCTCTCACTGATGTATTGTGGATGGACAGGTGGGAATGAAATCAGCAGATAACCAGTCTCTTTAAGCTGAGGGACCGTCTTTAAGTTATTTTCTCATTTATACAAAGTAGGCACCTGAATGCTCCATGAAAATAATTGGACCAGCAATGAAAATATATAATACAATTTTGGTCTTAATTTTTTCATAACTAGCAAAACTGATTGTAATTCTTAATAGGAGTTTATTTGTTAGGAAAATGGTGTTGGTTTTAAGGTGACATATTTGTTTTTTCCATTTAGAAAAATATTTTGAATTTCAAAAGAATAACAACCTACTGACTCAGTGCACAAAGTTGTTCTTTTATCAGGCTATGTGCATTTGGAGTCCTTAAATGGCATTTAGAAGTGATACACAAAACGGAGAGAATTGATTGATGTCAACTTCTATATTATTATTATATATAGATATAATAATAAGTTGACAACCATAAATTCTCTCCCTTATATATGTATATTGGATTTTCAAACTCTGTAACTGCGGGTGAAATTTTGCATTTTCTTCTTTTTATTTAAATATGGTTGGCGAATCCTTGCTCCAATGAAAACAATAAAATAATTATTTCAGTTAATCAAACTTTGAAGAAAAAAATCAAGGAACATTTACCCAACAGTCTTTTATCTGGAAAAGATTTCAACATGGCATATTTCATAGAAACGTAATCCTCTATAATGATATACTTAAATAAATCTAACAGAAGCTATGAGAACTAAACTACTGTTTAGTTTTATTCATGCAATATTACAAATGTTTTTTGAGAAAAATGTTTAAAAGGAAAGAATTAGCTGTAGCTTGAGTATGTGGTCATAATAATACTTGCTGTGATATTTAGCTTTAAATGGTTTTTCATTGATAAAAATGACATTAGTTTTTGTTGTTCCCCTTCATTAAAATTTATATTTGTCAACTTTTTACAAAAATAATAATTACTTAGTTGTTTAGAGTTCTTAATCATCAGTTTACTACCTTACAAGGGATATATATTTGAAAATGATCTTTTAACTGTTTATATCACCCCTATTAAATCACGAAGGATTTTGATTCCTCGTAAATCGATACATGATCTCTAACCTTGTTGATAGTAGCAGATGTTATGTGTATCTCAGGATTTATTGGAGGAAATGATTCTCGAAAAAACAACATAGATTTCAGTAAGTTACTATTATATTTGACTCTTTTTAGATTAGTCTTATCAGATAGTATTGACTTGCTATGTCTGGATTTATTAATTAAGTCCAGTCGATAGACCTAGTTTATTGACATATTGATATTTCATCCAGGAGTTTTCAAGAAGGATCTTGTGTTTACTTTACATATTATGAGGCATGTACTTCTTTATGTTTTGAAGCACAATATTTTCTATTATTTTAGGTGATTAAGTAGCAAGTAGACTGTGATATAAAGACATATGACACTAGCATTTACGAATTTTAATCATTTTGCCTTGACAGATATTTATTTGACAGTGGCCTTGTTACATTTTTGGAACCAATACCCTTTGTAGCATCAATTCCTCTATGCATGTTTCATGTGCACTGTAAATCACATACTAGATTACAAATTTTTCGTTTTATCTTTCTAAGATGATATGAAGGGCACTGTGAAAAAATATTTTCCTAATATATTTTCTCTCACTTTCCCACATGAACTCACACAATGCATTGACAAGTTTGAATAAAAAAGGGATCTTCTATATTCTATGTGCAATCACTTATAAGTAAACTATCAAAATGGCGTATAATTTTAATGTTTTGTCATGGTTGCATATATATATATATATATATATATATATATATATATATATATATATGATATACGATAGATATATATATATATATATATATGACCTCTGACCTCTTCAATTTGGGAAAAATAGTGAGGTGTTAAAGGGTTTATTGTCACTTATTATTGCACTTATATAACGACATGTGTGCGTGCATGTGTGTGTGTCTGCTTGTACAAGTCAGATTTTTGCAGGATTCATAATGCTAGCCTACTGAGATACCATGCTGCAGTTTGACATGGATACCCAACTAACACACATTATACTGACGCAAAGCTGACCAGTCCTTGTTTTATCCCCTAATGCCGAGCGCCAGGCAGAGCAACAATAAGTAAGGGGATAGACGCAACCCAGCAATTGAACCACCATCCTTCCACTCTCCAGACAGACACTCTATCCACTACACTACGGATGAGGTGCCGTTTTGGAAAAAAATCTGTACACAAAGTAATTGAAATTAAGATGTCTCAGACCATGATAAAAAATTAAAAATAATCCATCCTTTCCTGCCTCACTACTAAACATGCCGTCTCCCATCATATTGTCCCCAAGTCCCTACAGACAGGGGCGGTCGGGTAGCCTAGTGGTTAAAGCGTTGGCTCGTCACGCCGAAGACCCGGGTTCGATTTCCGACATGGGTACAATGTGTGAAACCCATTTCTGGTGTCCCCCGCCGTGATATTGCTGGAATATTGCTAAAAGCAGCGTAAAACCATACTCACTCACTCACTCCCTACAGACAGGACAGATGCCGTGTTACCTTACCTCATGAACATGCCATGGAGGTAGTCCCACCTGCTTCATCGGAATCACGTCGGTTGGCAGTTAATGTACACAGACTCCTTGAAAACACCTCCCATGCATATTTTAGAGGATGTTTTAAGATGTAATTAACTTCTTGTGGTCGTAGAGCTGAGACCATACGCAGGCATAACAGCCTGCAGCCACTCACTCCATGCAAGCTGCTATAACTACAAGTATGTCAGAGTTGGACTCGGTTATCTCATGCTTCATGTTGGCCCGGTACATGTTGAGATGTGCCATTCAATCCTTGTTATCTCGAACATATATCTCGAAATCCCTGTTTATCTCGATGACAGCCCAAGTTTCGCAGATGTGGCAGATCGTAACTGAAACACTATTACAAGCAGTGTCAAGGCCAGCTGGTCACTCACTCACTCACTCTGAGACAGGAACCTCGCATGATCGCTTCCATGCCAGTATTATTGGAAATATCTGTCTACATTTTGACAGATTATGTGGTGTTGTCAAAAAGTATTAAGAACATTTTGAAATTCACAAAGATTTATTTGTGATCTGGATAACTATTTGTTATGCTTTCCTATTAGACAAATAGGCTAACAAATGTAATATGTTTACAAATAGATAACATTGTTGATAGTACTAACAGATGTAATATGTTTACAAATAGATTACATTGTTGATAGTACTAACAGATGTAATATGTTTACTAATAGATTACATTGTTGATAGTACTAACAGATGTAATATGTTTACAAATAGATTACAGTGTTGATAGTACTAACAGATGTAATATGTTTACAAATCGATTACATTGTTGATAGTACTAACAGATGTAATATGTTTACAAATAGATTACAGTGTTGATAGTACTAACAGATGTAATATGTTTACCAATAGATTACATTGTTGATAGTACTAACAGATGTAATATGTTTACAAATAGATTACAGTGTTGATAGTACTAACAGATGTAATATGTTTACTAATAGATTACATTGTTGATAGCACTAACAGATGTAATATGTTTACTAATAGATTACATTGTGGATAGTACTAACAGATGTAATATGTTTACTAATAGATTACATTGTGGATAGTACTAACAGATGTAATATGTTTACAAATTGATAACATTGTTGATAGTACTAACAGATGTAATATGTTTACTAATAGATTACATTGTTGATAGTACTAACAGATGTAATATGTTTACAAATAGATTACATTGTTGATAGTACTAACAGATGTAATATGTTTACAAATGGATTACATTGTTGATAGTACTAACAGATGTAATATGTTTACTAATAGATCACATTGTTGATAGTACTAACGGATGTAATATGTTTCCTAATAGATTACATTGTTGATAGTACTAACAGATGTAATATGTTTACAAATTGATAACATTGTTGATAGTACTAACGGATGTAATATGTTTACTAATAGATTACATTGTTGATAGTACTAACAGATGTAATATGTTTACTAATAGATTACATTGTTGATAGTACTAACAGATGTAATATGTTTACAAATAGATTACAGTGTTGATAGTACTAACAGATGTAATATGTTTACTAATAGATTACATTGTTGATAGTACTAACAGATGTAATATGTTTACAAATAGATTACAGTGTTGATAGTACTAACAGATGTAATATGTTTACAAATCGATTACATTGTTGATAGTACTAACAGATGTAATATGTTTACAAATAGATTACAGTGTTGATAGTACTAACAGATGTAATATGTTTACCAATAGATTACATTGTTGATAGTACTAACAGATGTAATATGTTTACAAATAGATTACAGTGTTGATAGTACTAACAGATGTAATATGTTTACTAATAGATTACATTGTTGATAGCACTAACAGATGTAATATGTTTACTAATAGATTACATTGTGGATAGTACTAACAGATGTAATATGTTTACTAATAGATTACATTGTGGATAGTACTAACAGATGTAATATGTTTACAAATTGATAACATTGTTGATAGTACTAACAGATGTAATATGTTTACTAATAGATTACATTGTTGATAGTACTAACAGATGTAATATGTTTACAAATAGATTACATTGTTGATAGTACTAACAGATGTAATATGTTTACAAATGGATTACATTGTTGATAGTACTAACAGATGTAATATGTTTACTAATAGATCACATTGTTGATAGTACTAACGGATGAAATATGTTTCCTAATAGATTACATTGTGGATAGTACTAACAGATGTAATATGTTTACAAATTGATAACATTGTTGATAGTACTAACGGATGTAATATGTTTACTAATAGATTACATTGTTGATAGTACTAACAGATGTAATATGTTTACTAATAGATTACATTGCTGATAGTACTAACAGATGTAATATGTTTACAAATAGATTACAGTGTTGATAGTACTAACAGATGTAATATGTTTACCAATAGATTACATTGTTGATAGTACTAACAGATGTAATATGTTTACAAATAGATTACATTGTTGATAGTACTAACAGATGTAATATGTTTACTAATAGATTACATTGTTGATAGCACTAACAGATGTAATATGTTTACTAATAGATTACATTGTTGATAGTACTAACAGATGTAATATGTTTACTAATAGATTACATTGTTGATAGTACTAACAGATGTAATATGTTTACAAATAGATTACAATGTTGATAGTACTAACAGATGTAATATGTTTACAAATAGATTACAATGTTGATAGTATTAACAGATGTTTTATGTTTACTAATAGAAACTTAAAGGTTAACCTCAAAATTGGTTCATACAGAACTAAATTGTGTAATCAGTATATACCACAGAGGATCAATGAACAACCAACAAATTATACTGAAACACCGGATTAGGTTTACAATAATAAAAGGCAATATAATGGCACTATCAATCTATAATCGGCCCTGTTATTATCTGTGGTATCTGAAATTGTATTCTGGGTTCTCAACATTCCTTCACCAATCTACAAAACTGATAATCTGATCAGAGATAACAGATATGATAAGCTGGTGACGCCTGGCCATTCAGTGATGCAATAAATCGTCTTGTGATGTCTTAAGTATGTCTCAATTGAAATTAACTGAGTTTGGAGAAAAAAAGTTTTTCACATACAAATGTATATTTCAAACCATCCTTCTTATGCATCTGCACATCAGCAAAAGAAATGGTCCAGTGATTCATATTAATGATGGGTATTGACCTTTAGGAATAATGATTTATGTATTGCGATATGTACCCCAATATATTGCATGTGTTCTTACTGATTGTAATTTGGGTTGAAGCTCATTTCTTTCAGCTTTGAAACTTTGTGAAAATTTGCACTAGACTGCATTTTGAGTGGACGATGTCGCCGTATGTGCATCATGAAATTTGTGGTTCCCTCCATGTAGTCACTGTGGCTGCAATGTTATCTTTGCTTTTCTGTTCATGTTTTCTGTTTTTAAGTTCCCAAATGGAACCATACATAACAACTTTGTAGTTATCGCAATTTGTTGGATGTTGCTATGGTCACAATGCTTTTGTAATAGACAAATTATATAAAAAAGAAAGTATACTTTTGCTTTTTCGATCACTTATTTCATAATTTCAATTTGACCATATGTTACTTATGTAAACGTTGCCAACGAGATGAAAGTATTCATGGTTTAGACAAAATGCAATATTCCGCTATTTTCCAAACGTATTGTGATTCAGACTAATATTTGATTCATGATACAATACTTGGTTTGACCCTGTGGGCAGTCTGGGTTAGGGTAGGTCCGGAGCGACTAACGGGATTGGGTGGTCAGGCTCGCTGACTTGGTTGATGCATGTCATCGATCCTAATTGCGTGGATCGATGCTCATGATGTCAATCACAGGACTGTCTGGTCCAGATTCGATTATTTACAGACTGCCGATATATAGCTGGAATATAGCAACGTTAAACAACAAACAAACAAACAAACAAACAAAACGAGACCTATGAGAATTTTATGCGCATGCATTCTTTTTTAATGCTTCTTTCATTTCAGAGATGGAGACCAGCACTGAGATCCTGCCAGCCTTGCAGACACACCCCTCTTTCAAGCGGGACTTCCACATGACATGTCTGGATGTGTCCCAGAACAATATTGAGTCCTTGTCCCACCTCCTGACGGCAGACGCACAGCTCCTGGCCTGCTTTGCACGCCTCGAGAAACTCGACCTCAGCCACAACCAGCTGGAGAAGCTTCCCGACAAACTCTTCAAGGTCAGTCAATGTCAAGAATGTGTGGTGACCATTTTGTGGAGGAGTGAGTGAGTGTATGTTGTTAAATGCTGCAGTGAGCACTAATTGAGCTGTATCAGAACAGCCTGTGAATGGTGTAGAGCTAGCATCAGAGCAAGGGAGTGAGTGTATGTTGTTAAATGCTGCAGTGAGTACTAATCGAGCTGTATCAGAACAGCCTGCGAATGGTGTAGAGCTAGCATCAGAGCAAGGGAGTGAGTGTATGTTGTTAAATGCTGCAGTGAGCACTAATCGAGCTGTATCAGAACAGCCTGCGAATGGTGTAGAGCTAGCATCAGAGCAAGGGAGTGAGTGCATGTTGTTTTATGCTGCAGTGAGCACTAATTGAGCTGTATCAGAACAGCCTGTGAATGGTGTAGAGCTAGCATCAGAGCAAGGGAGTGAGTGTATGTTGTTAAATGCTGCAGTGAGCTCTAATCGAGCTGTATCAGGACAGCCTGTGAATGGTGTAGAGCTAGCATCAGAGCAAGGGAGTGAGTGTATGTTGTTAAATGCTGCAGTGAGCACTAATCGAGCTGTATCAGGACAGCCTGTGAATGGTGTAGAGCTGGCATCAGAGCAAGGGAGTGAGTGTATGTTGTTTTATGCTGCAGTGAGCACTAATCGAGCTGTATCAGGACAGCCTGTGAATGGTGTAGAGCTGGCATCAGAGCAAGGGAGTGAGTGTATGTTGTTTTATGCTGCAGTGAGCACTAATCGAGCTGTATCAGGACAGCCTGTGAATGGTGTAGAGCTAGCATCAGAGCAAGGGAGTGAGTGTATGTTGTTTTATGCTGCAGTGAGCACTAATCGAGCTGTATCAGGACAGCCTGTGAATGGTGTAGAGCTAGCATCAGAGCAAGGGAGTGAGTGTATGTTGTTAAATGCTGCAGTGAGCACTAATCGAGCTGTATCAGGACAGCCTGTGAATGGTGTAGAGCTAGTATCAGAGCAAGGGAGTGAGTACATGTTGTTAAATGCTGCAGTGAGCACTAATCGAGCTGTATCAGAGCAGCCTGTGAATGGTGTAGAGCTAGCATCAGAGCAAGGGAGTGAGTACATGTTGTTAAATGCTGCAGTGAGCACTAATCGAGCTGTATCAGGACAGCCTGTGAATGGTGTAGAGCTAGTATCAGAGCAAGGGAGTGAGTGTATGTTGTTTTATGCTGCAGTGAGCACTAATCGAGCTGTATCAGGACAGCCTGTGAATGGTGTAGAGCTAGTATCAGAGCAAGGGAGTGAGTGTATGTTGTTAAATGCTGCAGTGAGCACTAATCGAGCTGTATCAGAACAGCCTGTGAATGGTGTAGAGCTAGCATCAGAGCAAGGGAGTGAGTGTATGTTGTTAAATGCTGCAGTGAGCACTAATCGAGCTGTATCAGGACAGCCTGTGAATGGTGTAGAGCTAGTATCAGAGCAAGGGAGTGAGTGTATGTTGTTAAATGCTGCAGTGAGCACTAATCGAGCTGTATCAGGACAGCCTGTGAATGGTGTAGAGCTAGCATCAGAGCAAGGAAGTGAGTGTATGTTATGAAATGCTGCAGTCTGCAATAAACTAGATGTATCAATGTCAGTAGTACGGAGTTAACACTTAGAGATATGCGGGGCCAGGCTTGTGGCTTGTCCAGTGGAAGGGATCGCCAGTCAGGCATTAGAGTAGTGACTATAGTCAGAGATTAGTTCACTAACTTGCCACTAACAGACACATATGACCACATAGGAGTTCCTTGAGAATATATGTGCAAAGAGATATCTATGATGTTTAGCATACCAAAATATAAGTAAGATTTATTGCATACCAATAGATATATATGATTTATAGCATACCATACTTTCATTGAGGCTTTGATTGACCAATGCTTAAAAGGACTTTCCACATTGTCATTGGATAAAACAGGTCTGTCAGTCTGTCAGTTATGTGTAGATATGTTATTTTGATCCAGAATGTGTATTTCTCAGATATATGCAAGTCTCCACTTGTAACGTGAAGGTTGTGTGACAGTTGTCTGAACATTCGTACATTCCTGTTCCAGAACTTCCCAAGGCTACAGTATGTGGACATACGATACAACAAACTGAAATCTTTTCCACATGAAGTCATAGAGTGTACTGCACTTATCTCTCTCGATCTCAGTCACAACCAGGTGAGCTAACTCTCTTACATTCCTAGTCGCATCGAGGGGAAGTAGTACTTCTTCCAAACTCAGTCAGTACCAGGTAAAGTAACGCCTGCCGTTATCTCATTCACTACAAAGTGAGCTAACTACTTTAATTTCACAATCACAATCGGATGTGATATCACTGCCCACAATCTCAGTTATAGCCAGGTGAGCTTTTCCATCCACGACCTACAGCCAGGTGAGCTAACATCTGCCTTCATCTCATTCTCAAATTAGTGAATGAACACCTCCCTTGGTCCCAGTGATTTCTATATTTGGATTCATACTTCTGGAGCTCAGTGATCTTAATTCGATATGGAAATTGTTCTTGCTTACCAACGTTTCAATTTTTATTTTATTGTATTAATCCTTTTTATAGTTTAGTACAGAAAGTGAGAGGATGTGAGTGTGAATGAGTGTCTATGTCAATGTCATATATAATCTGAGTTCATAATATCCATGCTTCTAATATCAATCTTACTATTATTATCAGCGTGCATTACAATAGCTTCTGAAACTCATTGGATAACTTTGTTTGTTTATTCTAAAATTGTCTTTATGCCCCTTCTAACTAGGGCCAGGCAATACCCAGGGTACCTGCTGGTCTTATCTGAAACAGGGACTCGGAAATATCATCATAAAAAAAAAAAAATCATATTTGGATTCTTATTTATATCTTCCTCTTGATTCAGATCACACAACTGAGCAACAAAGATCTGTCTGGAATCTACAGCATCCGGGAACTTAATCTTTCATCCAATCAGATTGAAAACTTTCCAGACAAAATTGACAGAGCAATGCCCAACTTGGAGAAGCTGAATCTTTACAAGTAAGTAATGCATTGTTAATTTCATATTTCTTATCTCCAATTAGATGATTTTCATCAAATTAATGTAATATGTAACAGATTGTTTTGCTAAGCCCATGTCATACCAAACAAGGTGTTAAAAGATGGTACTTGATACTACCCTGCCTGGCGACCGGCATGAACAGGATAAAACCAGAACAACTCGGCCTGGAGTTGGAATACCGTGTCTGAGTGGGGTATCTCAGTGGGCTGGCAATATTAGATCGGCAATAGTCTAGACTAGTACAAGAACGAACACATACGCTTGCACGCACACACGCGCACACACGCACGCACACACACACACACCACACCACACCGCGCCAAGTCTCAACACACTGCACCACACACACGCCGCTATATAAGTGTAATAATCTGGAACGTGACTGCATTTAACATCATTTCACCCTATCTCACCCTCCACATTAACTTTACATGAAATACTGTAGAGCTCGAAATCGACTGATTGAAGACTGATCAAGAAGAAAGTGTTTTTGTTGTATGTTGTTACAGTTGTAGGAAGGTGACAATTGTATGTTTTACTTCCTAGGAACAAGATTTCCAGTCTGCCCAAGTCCACCATGAACCTACCAGAGCTTCGCCGTCTTGACCTGTCCAGAAACATGATCACAATCATACATGACAAGTTCTTATCTGCCTGTCACAAACTGGAAACACTGGAGATGGTCAGCAATGGCCTGGGTGGGTATTGTTCTACTGTATGGTCAGCTACTGTCTAGGTGGGTATTGTTCTACCGTATGGTCAGCTACTGTCTAGGTGGGTATTGTTCTACTGTATGGTCAGCTACTGTCTAGGTGGGTATTGTTCTACTGTATGGTCAGCAATGGCCTGGGTGGGTATTGTTCTACTGTATGGTCAGCTACTGTCTAGGTGGGTATTGTTCTACTGTATGGTCAGCTACTGTCTAGGTGGGTATTGTTCTACTGTATGGTCAGCAATGGCCTGGGTGGGTATTGTTCTACTGTATGGTCAGCTACTGTCTAGGTGGGTATTGTTCTACTGTATGGTCAGCTACTGTCTAGGTGGGTATTGTTCTACTGTATGGTCAGCTACTGTCTAGGCGGGTATTGTTCTACTGTATGGTCAGCTACTGTCTAGGTGGGTATTGTTCTACTGTATGGTCAGCTACTGTCTAGGCGGGTATTGTTCTACTGTATGGTCAGCTACTGTCTAGGTGGGTATTGTTCTACTGTATGGTCAGCTACTGTCTAGGTGGGTATTGTTCTACTGTATGGTCAGCTACTGTCTAGGTGGGTATTGTTCTACTGTATGGTCAGCTACTGTCTAGGTGGGTATTGTTCTACTGTATGGTCAGCTACTGTCTAGGTGGGTATTGTTCTACTGTATGGTCAGCTACTGTCTAGGTGGGTATTGTTCTACTGTATGGTCAGCTACTGTCTAGGTGGGTATTGTTCTACTGTATGGTCAGCTACTGTCTAGGTGGGTATTGTTCTACTGTATGGTCAGCTACTGTCTAGGTGGGTATTGTTCTACTGTATGGTCAGCTACTGTCTAGGTGGGTATTGTTCTACTGTATGGTCAGCTACTGTCTAGGTGGGTATTGTTCTACTGTATGGTCAGCTACTGTCTAGGTGGGTATTGTTCTACTGTATGGTCAGCTACTGTCTAGGTGGGTATTGTTCTACTGTATGGTCAGCTACTGTCTAGGTGGGTATTGTTCTACTGTATGGTCAGCTACTGTCTAGGTGGGTATTGTTCTACTGTATGGTCAGCTACTGTCTAGGTGGGTATTGTTCTACTGTATGGTCAGCTACTGTCTAGGTGGGTATTGTTCTACTGTATGGTCAGCTACTGTCTAGGTGGGTATTGTTCTACTGTATGGTCAGCTACTGTCTAGGTGGGTATTGTTCTACTGTATGGTCAGCTACTGTCTAGGTGGGTATTGTTCTACTGTATGGTCAGCTACTGTCTAGGTGGGTATTGTTCTACTGTATGGTCAGCTACTGTCTAGGTGGGTACTGTTCTACTGTATGGTCAGCTACTGTCTAGGTGGGTACTGTTCTACTGTATGGTCAGCTACTGTCTAGGTGGGTACTGTTCTACTGTATGGTCAGCTACTGTCTAGGTGGGTATTGTTCTACTGTATGGTCAGCTACTGTCTAGGTGGGTACTGTTCTACTGTATGGTCAGCTACTGTCTAGGTGGGTACTGTTCTACTGTATGGTCAGCTACTGTCTAGGTGGGTATTGTTCTACTGTATGGTCAGCTACTGTCTAGGTGGGTATTGTTCTACTGTATGGTCAGCTACTGTCTAGGTGGGTATTGTTCTACTGTATGGTCAGCTACTGTCTAGGTGGGTACTGTTCTACTGTATGGTCAGCTACTGTCTAGGTGGGTATTGTTCTACTGTATGGTCAGCTACTGTCTAGGTGGGTATTGTTCTACTGTATGGTCAGCTACTGTCTAGGTGGGTATTGTTCTACTGTATGGTCAGCTACTGTCTAGGTGGGTATTGTTCTACTGTATGGTCAGCTACTGTCTAGGTGGGTATTGTTCTACTGTATGGTCAGCTACTGTCTAGGTGGGTATTGTTCTACTGTATGGTCAGCTACTGTCTAGGTGGGTATTGTTCTACTGTATGGTCAGCTACTGTCTAGGTGGGTATTGTTCTACTGTATGGTCAGCTACTGTCTAGGTGGGTATTGTTCTACTGTATGGTCAGCTACTGTCTAGGTGGGTATTGTTCTACTGTATGGTCAGCTACTGTCTAGGTGGGTATTGTTCTACTGTATGGTCAGCTACTGTCTAGGTGGGTATTGTTCTACTGTATGGTCAGCTACTGTCTAGGTGGGTATTGTTCTACTGTATGGTCAGCTACTGTCTAGGTGGGTATTGTTCTACTGTATGGTCAGCTACTGTCTAGGTGGGTATTGTTCTACTGTATGGTCAGCTACTGTCTAGGTGGGTATTGTTCTACTGTATGGTCAGCTACTGTCTAGGTGGGTATTGTTCTACTGTATGGTCAGCTACTGTCTAGGTGGGTATTGTTCTACTGTATGGTCAGCTACTGTCTAGGTGGGTATTGTTCTACTGTATGGTCAGCTACTGTCTAGGTGGGTATTGTTCTACTGTATGGTCAGCTACTGTCTAGGTGGGTATTGTTCTACTGTATGGTCAGCTACTGTCTAGGTGGGTATTGTTCTACTGTATGGTCAGCTACTGTCTAGGTGGGTATTGTTCTACTGTATGGTCAGCTACTGTCTAGGTGGGTATTGTTCTACTGTATGGTCAGCTACTGTCTAGGTGGGTATTGTTCTACTGTATGGTCAGCTACTGTCTAGGTGGGTATTGTTCTACTGTATGGTCAGCTACTGTCTAGGTGGGTATTGTTCTACTGTATGGTCAGCTACTGTCTAGGTGGGTATTGTTCTACTGTATGGTCAGCTACTGTCTAGGTGGGTATTGTTCTACTGTATGGTCAGCTACTGTCTAGGTGGGTATTGTTCTACTGTATGGTCAGCTACTGTCTAGGTGGGTATTGTTATACTGTATGGTCAGCTACTGTCTAGGTGGGTATTGTTCTACTGTATGGTCAGCTACTGTCTAGGTGGGTATTGTTCTACTGTATGGTCAGCTACTGTCTAGGTGGGTATTGTTATACTGTATGGTCAGCTACTGTCTAGGTGGGTATTGTTCTACTGTATGGTCAGCTACTGTCTAGGTGGGTATTGTTATACTGTATGGTCAGCTACTGTCTAGGTGGGTATTGTTCTACTGTATGGTCAGCTACTGTCTAGGTGGGTATTGTTATACTGTATGGTCAGCTACTGTCTAGGTGGGTATTGTTATACTGTATGGTCAGCTACTGTCTAGGTGGGTATTGTTCTACTGTATGGTCAGCTACTGTCTAGGTGGGTATTGTTATACTGTATGGTCAGCTACTGTCTAGGTGGGTATTGTTCTACTGTATGGTCAGCTACTGTCTAGGTGGGTATTGTTCTACTGTATGGTCAGCTACTGTCTAGGTGGGTATTGTTATACTGTATGGTCAGCTACTGTCTAGGTGGGTATTGTTCTACTGTATGGTCAGCTACTGTCTAGGTGGGTATTGTTCTACTGTATGGTCAGCTACTGTCTAGGTGGGTATTGTTCTACTGTATGGTCAGCTACTGTCTAGGTGGGTATTGTTCTACTGTATGGTCAGCTACTGTCTAGGTGGGTACTGTTCTACTGTATGGTCAGCTACTGTCTAGGTGGGTATTGTTATACTGTATGGTCAGCTACTGTCTAGGTGGGTATTGTTATACTGTATGGTCAGCTACTGTCTAGGTGGGTATTGTTCTACTGTATGGTCAGCTACTGTCTAGGTGGGTATTGTTCTACTGTATGGTCAGCTACTGTCTAGGTGGGTATTGTTATACTGTATGGTCAGCTACTGTCTAGGTGGGTATTGTTATACTGTATGGTCAGCTACTGTCTAGGTGGGTATTGTTATACTGTATGGTCAGCTACTGTCTAGGTGGGTATTGTTCTACTGTATGGTCAGCTACTGTCTAGGTGGGTATTGTTCTACTGTATGGTCAGCTACTGTCTAGGTGGGTATTGTTCTACTGTATGGTCAGCTACTGTCTAGGTGGGTATTGTTCTACTGTATGGTCAGCTACTGTCTAGGTGGGTATTGTTATACTGTATGGTCAGCTACTGTCTAGGTGGGTATTGTTCTACTGTATGGTCAGCTACTGTCTAGGTGGGTATTGTTATACTGTATGGTCAGCTACTGTCTAGGTGGGTATTGTTCTAAATGTCCTGTTGACCCATGAAGATCCGGGGTAGAATAGGTCTTCAGCAACCCAGGCTTGTCTCTCCGTGAAGATCCGGGGTAGAATAGGTCTTCAGCAACCCAGGCTTGTCGTAAGAGGCAACTAACGGGATCAGGTGGTCAAGATCACTGACTTGGTTGATGCATGTCATCATATCCCAATGGATCGATGCTCATGATGTCAATCCCTGGATTGTCTGGCCCAGACTCGATTATTTACAGACCGCTGTCTTACAGCTGGAATATTGCTGAGTGCGGCATTAAACAACAAACAAAAAAACAAACAAACAAAAAATTTCCTGTGTGGTCAGTTACTCTCTAGGTTGGGATTATCCTGTTGTCCTCTTCTGATTGCTTATCTAGAGGATAAGATGCGTAGACTCCCACCTAGCTGGAGTGCCTTTATCCAAAAATGGCACAACTCATTCTGGAAAGAATATTTTACAGTCACAGCTTTAAGATGGTAAATCATCTCACAACACAAAATCCCAGCCCCTCCCTTCCCAAACACCAGGTAACACATCCAAATAATATCTGTATTTTCAGAACAACTCCCTGGTGAGGACATGGCCAAGAACTTTCCCCGACTCAGCACTTTGAAGCTGAAGGGAAACCAACTGAAGGAGAAGGAGCCGTTTTATATTCCCAAGTTCATCCTGGAACTGCAGAGGTGGGGACACAACAGGATTTGTGTCCTTGGATTTGCTGTATTGCTTACCGTTGTTCTGGCTGTTAATTTTCATCTTTGCGTCCCTTGGCTAGACAGAAACCTATGATTGTGGGTTCGAATCCCGGTTCGCCCCGATTATGTTTCTAGGTTTGTCAGCACCATACCCGTGGGTTTCACCGAAGTGGTAAACGTCTGAGACCTGCATCACTTCGGGCTTTCCTCCCACATTAAGCTTACATGCCGTGATATAACTGGAATAATGTTAAAAGTGGTGTTAAACCCAACTCACTCACTCACTAATTTTGATTTTTAGAAAGTTTATTTTTTTACTGTATTTTGTTTTCAGTGATTGTGGAATTATAAAATGAAGACATCATGCTTTTATGTGCCATCATTTATAGCTAGGATGTGTGTTTGGGCCATAGTAAGATACTTCTGTCCAGTTACTATTTAAGAAGTACACAATGAGTAGGAGTTGTTTATTGTACAATAAATTACTGCAGGGAGAATAAACCATGAACTGCGCAGCCGTGGCAGGGGGTTAAATTTGGTCTTTCCCGCATATTCTCACAATCCTCACGTCGATTATCTGTACCTTTTCTCCCAATACCAATTGTCATATCTCTCGAACTTTTGGGTGCGATCGTTCGGCCATTGCGTTCATCTGCACTGTCTAGCTACCTCTTTGGGAACAACTCACTGGACACTTCCCTCTCAAAAATAACGTCGTCCAATTTACAATGTCATCAAGTTGCAAGCGCATGTTTGAATCTCCAGAAATGATGTCCTGATAAAGCAATGTTTTATTGCGAAATAAGCCACACTTCGTTCTCCATTGTTCTTTGCAATTTATCGCGTAGCTATCTGGTATTTCAGAATATGTAGCAGGAGCAATCTGTTGGTATTTGGGCCAGCTGGTATTCCCCCATGAACAGAGATTTGCATGGGTAGAGAGTCAGTGGGTAGACACATCTGATGTCACATCTTTCTGTTACAGTCTCAGGTTTGTGGATTTATCCAAGAATGGCCTGCTTGGATTCCCTCCTCCGGTTTTATGGAAGTCACAGATCCTGAAGGAAATCCTAGTGTCCGAGAACAGCATTGCAAGAGTAAGTTCGGAATGACCTACATATTGGTTATGGCATTCACTCATTTCATTTACACAGTCATCTGAGGTGATGCAATTTACCCAGAGTTGTGTCCCTTAGATATGCCAGAATCCTATGACCCTGGAATAGGGAAACTCAGTCAAATGTAGTGGAATAACAAGTGGAGTTATTTCTTTGGGTTATTCTGACTCAAAGTCTTGACTACAATGCATAAAATCCATGGCATCTGAATTTGTTATCTAAAGTGTGACACATATTTTCTTGTACCGGTATCAGTTATCGTAAATATATGGGCAATAGTCAGGTATCATCTCCGAACACGTTGAAGAAGCCTTTCCTTCCACCAGATCCCAGCAATCTTGGCAACTGTGTGACAACCAAAACACTATCATAGAGGAATTATAATTTATGTTCAATGCGCATTCACTTCTTAATTAGAAATACATTCTCCGGAAACAAGCTGATTAAAACACTTCACAGTTTGTCTTCTCTCCGCTACTGTCAGCCATGTTTCACCTGCTGTGACTACAGTAAATGTTGGAGTAGTTCGGAATTTTACAGAGATGACCGAATGTGTTCGGCTACCAATGCTTTATATCACATTTGAAACCATTCCTTCACACTTGGTAGCTATACAAGCGTTATTGCTTACATGAACTCTGATAATGCTTCTTTTATTCAAATAGATAGGAGGGCCTGGTGACTGGTTCCTTTGCAAAGCTATGGTTTATATTGATCTTGATGAAAGTTGCTGTTATCCTTTTTCAATACATGAAAATATGCCTTCATTGAATTGGGTTCGTGTGACTTGAAAACTAGAAACACAATAAAGCCACTGAGCACATCAATCTATCTACGCTGCATCTTGATACATCAATTGATATATGACTGTTCCAGCTTCATTTGGATGGCGCCAAGGCCTGGGCCAAAGTTGAAAAGTTCCATATTGCCAGGAATAAACTCTCCGAGGTAAGTAGATAGATAGACAGACAGACAGACGAACGGATGGACGGACGGACAGGACAAAGCTGAAATGTTCCATATTGCCAGGAATAAACTATCCGAGGTAAGTAGATAGATAGACAGACGGACGGACGGACGGACAGGACAAAGTTGAAATGTTCCATATTGCCAGGAATAAACTATCCGAGGTAAGTAGATAGATAGACAGACAGACGGACGGACGGACGGACAGGACAAAGTTGAAATGTTCCATATTGCCAGGAATAAACTATCCGAGGTAAGTAGATAGATAGATAGATAGACAGACGGACGGACGGACGGACAGGACAAAGCTGAAATGTTCCATATTGCCAGGAATAAACTATCCGAGGTAAGTAGATAGATAGATAGACAGACGGACGGACGGACGGACAGGACAAAGCTGAAATGTTCCATATTGCCAGGAATAAACTATCCGAGGTAAGTAGATAGATAGACAGACGGACGGACGGACGGACAGGACAAAGTTGAAATGTTCCATATTGCCAGGAATAAACTATCCGAGGTAAGTAGATAGATAGACAGACAGACGGACGGACGGACGGACAGGACAAAGTTGAAATGTTCCATATTGCCAGGAATAAACTATCCGAGGTAAGTAGATAGATAGATAGACAGACGGACGGACGGACGGACAGGACAAAGCTGAAATGTTCCATATTGCCAGGAATAAACTATCCGAGGTAAGTAGATAGATAGATAGACAGACGGACGGACGGACGGACAGGACAAAGCTGAAATGTTCCATATTGCCAGGAATAAACTATCCGAGGTAAGTAGATAGATAGATAGACAGACGGACGGACGGACGGACAGGACAAAGCTGAAATGTTCCATATTGCCAGGAATAAACTATCCGAGGTAAGTAGATAGATAGATAGACAGACGGACGGACGGACGGACAGACAGGACAAAGTTGAAATGTTCCATATTGCCAGGAAAAAACTATCCGAGGTAAGTAGATAGATAGATAGACAGACGGACGGACGGACAGACGGACAGGACAAAGTTGAAATGTTCCATATTGCCAGGAATAAACTATCCGAGGTAAGTAGATAGATACATAGATAGACAGACGGACGGACGGACAGGACAAAGCTGAAATGTTCCATATTGCCAGGAAAAAACTATCCGAGGTAAGTAGATAGATAGACAGACAGACGGACGGATGGACGGACGGACAGGACAAAGCTGAAATGTTCCATATTGCCAGGAATAAACTATCCGAGGTAAGTAGATGGATAGACAGACAGACGGACGGATGGACGGACAGGACAAAGCTGAAATGTTCCATATTGCCAGGAATAAACTATCCGAGGTAAGTAGATAGATAGACAGACGGACGGACGGACAGGACAAAGCTGAAATGTTCCATATTGCCAGGAATAAACTATCCGAGGTAAGTAGATAGATAGACAGACGGACGGACGGACGGACGGACAGGACAAAGCTGAAATGTTCCATATTGCCAGGAATAAACTATCCGAGGTAAGTAGATAGATAGATAGACAGACGGACGGACGGACAGACGGACAGGACAAAGCTGAAATGTTCCATATTGCCAGGAATAAACTATCCGAGGTAAGTAGATAGATAGATAGACAGACGGACGGACGGACAGACGGACAGGACAAAGCTGAAATGTTCCATATTGCCAGGAATAAACTATCCGAGGTAAGTAGATAGATAGATAGACAGACGGACGGACGGACAGACGGACAGGACAAAGCTGAAATGTTCCATATTGCCAGGAATAAACTATCCGAGGTAAGTAGACAGATAGATAGACAGACGGACGGATGGACGGACGGACAGGACAAAGTTGAAATGTTCCATATTGCCAGGAATAAACTATCCGAGGTAAGTAGACAGATAGATAGACAGACGGACAGACGGAGGGACAGACAGGACAAAGTTGAAATGTTCCATATTGCCAGGAAAAAACTATCCGAGGTAAGTAGATAGATACATAGATAGACAGACGGACGGACGGACGGACGGACAGGACAAAGTTGAAATGTTCCATATTGCCAGGAATAAACTATCCGAGGTTAGTAGATAGATACATTGAAGTATTGTAATCCTGAAGCACATGTAGCACATGAGGTGTCTCCTTAGCCAAGTGACTTTGTTTGAAATGTGCCAATGTTCATCCAGCAGTGAATGGGTACCAAGTAGGATAGGAAGGCAGTGTGTTAGCCTTCTTGCAACTCGCAGGCAGCTTGGGTTGTATACTTCCCTGGTATCTCAGGATGAAACTCGAGTGCTCACTGATCCGTGGACGGGGAATAATGTAGCTCTTTGAGCATGCTTTAGGTTGTGGATTTGGAGCATTATGAACATGTACAATATTTAATACGGCGTAGGGTGGTTGTATTGTGGATTTGTTGTAGATGCCGAAGGACATTGGTCATCTGGTGTCACTACAATCACTGGACATGAACCACAATAAGGCTTTGACTTCGCTACCAGATGAACTTGGCAGGTGCTCTCGCATGTGGGAGGTGAGGTCATATTCCAAGTAGACACAGTGTATGGATAACAACTTCTGTAATCAAGTCTTTGAAAGGCATTTAGAAGTGACACACGTCAGGAAGAGAATGTATGGAAGTCAACTTCTTTATTATGAGGAACAGAACGTTTCGGAGTATATGCTTACTCCTTCATCTCCTGAATAAAGTTCCTCATAATAAAAAGGTTGACATCCATAAATTCTCTTCCTTAACTTCTTTAATTACTTTAAAGGTGATGTTTGGGTATAGATCCTTATACCGTTGTCAAGCAAGACCTTTGTCTCTCAGTCTTGCTTGATAAAGGTATAAGGATCTATACCAAAACATCGCCTTTACAGTAATTAAAGAAGTTGTTATCCATATATTGTGTCTACTTTGTCATCCGTCAACTTCTACCGGTAAGTAATGCCTATCAAACAATTCAAGGTCCTTTTCATTGACATCCCATTCTTTGCGAGTGTTTATAAAATTATTGAGATATGCTGCCAGGTCTACTCAAAGTCTGTGACTGTATGGAAAAAAAATATTTAGCATTTTTTATTGAAAGATAAGACAGGCAGTAGACATGTGACCTTACGACATGTTGTTACAGATGCCTCTTGATGGCCTGAACCTCAGTGACCTTGATGACAGTCTGGTTAAAGGAAGAGTGAAGGATCTGATAATCTATCTCCACAACAGACTGAAAAAGGTGAGAGGTTCTCAGATGAGGTGCATCAATTGTCTTACTTTCCAAGTGGGTACCTCTAATATATGGATATAGTTTAAGTGTAGTTTTAAGAACCCTTGGATCAGGAAGATATAGTCGTATCTTAGATCTTGTTACTACATAAATTGCCCAGATATAAACACATAATGATGATAGTTACCTCAAGTATGTTTATGATATGATTTCAAATTTGAAACGTGAAGGTTAACCCAGAAAAAATTACAGAAAAAAACTAAATTGTGAAATCAGTAAATGAGTCATTGAGTATGATTTTGTCCCGCATTTAGCAATATTCCATCAATATCATAGCAGGGGACGCCAGAAATTGGCTTCACACATGAAATCAGTAAATGACCTCTCAAGGTCAATGTCTAATGAACAAGGTATATTTATACACAGTTCTAGGTTTGCAATCACAAAAGGCTCAATTTAATGGGTCAAATGAGTTTGTTTGTTGTGTACAACACCCAAAGAAATATTCCAGCTATATTGTGGCGGTTTATAGATAGTCGAATCTAGACAAGACAATCCAGTGATTGACATCATAAGCAAGAGCGAGTCTAACCACTCGATCCTGTTAGTCACCTCTTACAACAAGCATGGGTTGCTGAAGATCGAAATCTTCAAGGGGGTCAATTAATTGTCAGCAGCAATTGATATCAGACCCAAGGATTGTTGTATGTGCGCTCATGAATGTTCAGAATTTTGTCACCCCCTGCTTGCTGTTATATACAGCCAGACTTCTAGAACATGTTCCATCCTGAAACTTCTTCACTGATCAAGGCTGTTGTGTTTGTAAACAACAACCAGGGGCAGATAACTCTTATCACTCGCTGCCACCGACTTGGCCACTCTAGCAATCGACATTTTCAGTCATTTGCTGACACTGACAATTACTACAAATATATTTACAATAGTGTCTACTGCCACGTAACAACAGTCGACCTGGTCCCCAGCATCTCATGCTAAGAGTCGACTGCAATTGGGATCTGGTGGTCACACTCATTCGCACATTGTGTGGCACTGTACCTCGATGGTGGGAGACAGTCCTCATTCTGTCATCCATGGCTTTAGCTGGCCCAGACTTGATTATTTTAAGACTACAGGCTGGCGTGATATCGATGGAATATTGCCAACTGTGGCACAGAACACCATTCACTCACTCATCCAGGATATATGCTGGGACCAGTAAATGTTTGCTGGAATCATTAGAGAATTGCTGTGACATTATTACCCCTCCCGTGAAACAAGACTGCCTTTATGTTTTGTTGGAATTGGACTGCTGCCATCCAAGCTGCTCATGCCAGTGATTTCTTTAAGGCCAACTACACAAAGATTATATATATATATTTGTGTCATCAGAGATGACTCTTCCATGGACAACTTCCAAATGGCCTTGGGAGTGGGGAGAGGGGAGAGGGGATTCTTTTGGCACAGGCCATGATAAGGTCAACAGCCAAGGTCACAAGACAGAGAGACTGTATTATCACAATTTAGAATGCACTAAGTACATACCTTCTGTAGGATGGGGCCCTGGTTTGAAAAAGGTTGAGGTCTAGATTAGCAAAAGGTCAAGGTCAGTGTATAGCTTTTTGTAAAACATAGTAAAAACATTGTCAGTTTCTGAGGTATGGTTACCTCTACAGTCATGGAACTTTATTTTACATATTCTTTGGATATCCTACCACATCAAACGTCAATTGCAGAGGAAATTTGCAACAATAGTTTTATCATGTTTTCTCATGAATATGGCACAAATATTATTGACATAAGATGTGGTATTCTTTTGGCACGTGCAGAAGGTCAAAGATCAAGGTAACAAGATAGAATACCTCACTCAAAAGCTTCTGGTTACACTTTCTAAAAACATATTAATGCATGTATCATTAAACTTGCAATATGCCTTCTCTAGGATGGGCCCCTTCTTTGAAAGGGTTAAGTCAAGATAAGTCAAAGGACAAGGTCAGTGTTCAGATTTTTGTAAAATAAGTTATATCATTGCCAAGTTCTGAGACACGGTTACATTTCCAGAGGCATGAAACTAGATATTTGCATGTATCGTATGTTGGTGCTATGTCTATCAAAGGTAAAGATGAACCTTGCGGGTATTATGAAACATGTCTGTATCATTTTTTGCCAGTTACTATCTGTAGCACTTATCTTGTACAATCCTGGGACTTGGGTAATTGTTGGTAATGTGTTTGGACTGGAGATACATGGTGGTACATTAAGCTTTGAGGAGGTGGTGGTGATGGGCCTGTTTCTGTTTTCTCACAGTTCATTAAACTATGTTTATAACAAACACACTTATAACAAACTTACGGATATAACAAACAGTTTTTTGGGTCCTGGCTATTTACTGTATATATGATGTATACATGGTTATAACGAACTACGGGACACGGGTGGCCCAGTCGACTTGGGTGCCGCGATTCGCTGTGCAGAGTTGCGTCCCTTGGGTAGCCAGAATTCTATGATTGTGGGTTCGAATTATGTTTCCATAATTCCATGATTAACTGGATTACATACTGACACCTTGCCCTCAAATTCATCCTCAGTTAACAATAGTAACACATTGATTAGGCTATAGCCTTTTAAGTGGATATAGTCTTTAAATGCGACGACTTAAGTGGGAAAATTCAGTATTGATAAAAATATGATGGCAGACAGCTTTTGTGTCTGTATGGCAATGAAGCCGTATCAGTTATAAATTATAACCTGTATTTACTTGAGTTATGTATTCTATGTCATTTATGAGGGGAACAAACATGGTTCATATCCAGTGCTCACTTTTCTTATTTATCAAGTGACATGATGTGGTCATGTGACTTGATCCAAGATGTCTGACAGTTGAAATGCTTATAACAAACTACGGTTACAAGGAACTGAAGGAGACATGAGACACTCATAATGTTTGCTGACAGGCCCAGCGTTATTTCCGCATGAAACTGATGGTGGTTGGATTTGGGAACCGCGGCAAGACCACCCTTCTGCACACGCTCAGGAAGAAGACGAAACATCGGAATGAGACGAGACCCACTGTAGGTGTGGTGGTGGATGATTGGAGGTGAGTGGACATTTGCTATTGTTGTTAACTAAGGGAATTTGACCAATGTTTGAATGAATAAATTCTATGAGCTTAGGTCCATCAAATGTTAAAGGCATAATTATTTTAATTCGATCTGAAGGAGATGCTTTTAGAAGTAGCTAACTTTGACATATCAGTCTTTGGTCACCCATCTATCCATCTATTATTGCTGAACTTAAAAAAAACTTTCTTCAAAACTACTGATCGGACCACTCAAGACAAAGTTTATTCTGGAGTGTGTTCAGAAATTTTGGTTAGTTTGTTGTTTAACACCGCACTCAGCAATATTCCAGCTATATAACGGCTATATTTATAGACTGTAAATAATCCAGTCTACCACACAGTCCAGTGATAAATATCATGAGCTACATCCGTGCAATTGGGATCGATGACATGCATCAACCAAGTCAGCAGGCCTGACCACCTGATCCCGTTAGTCACCTCTTACAACAAGCATGGGTTGCTGAAGACCTATTCTACCCCGGATCTTCACGGGTCTGTTCAGAAAGGACCTTTCGTAATTCTGTTCCAATTAAGCAGTAGTTATTCCAAGTTGAAAGGTAACTCATATTTGCATTTCAAAACTGGCAAAATAAAATTTACGTATTCTTCTTACCAATCATAACTTGAAGCTGAAAAGGATATGTCAGAATTAATGCAATAAGGATTTAATTAGAATCTTGTGGAAATTCTCGAAAACAAGAATAACCATGAAGTCTTTAAAATGCATTTTGAAGTTGGAAGAACATGAATACATGACACTGTTTTTGGATAGCAACTTCTTTTATTCTTTGTCACAACGTTTCAGAGCTACTTCTTGCTCCTTCACCAGAATTCACCATGAGCAAGAAGTAGCTCTAATTCTTCATGACAATGTATAAAAGAAGTTGCTATCCGTAAACAGTGTCATGTATTTAAGAATCATTATGTACCCGATGAGAAATGTTACAGAAAATGGAAGGGGGTTTTGATACGCTCTTAAGACTAATCACACTGAAACAGTCCCCATATGATGAATATCCAGTCCCGTAATACTTCATGTTTTCAACATCATTTTGCATAGTCTCAAAGATCACATCGATATGATACTTTGTATAACATGTTCTACAAACCCCTAGCTGAAACGAGGTAAGATTTTCTTTTCAAACTTTAAAAACTTCACAGTATAATCTTTCACCAAGTAAACCTACCATATTCGACGTAATAAGGGCCCCGCTCTAATAAGCGCCCACGGCGATATTTGTTGATATATTGGCTAGTGAACAATCCCAATTAGTACTAAAATTATATTCTAATAAGAGCCCCCTATTTCTAATTTTGGGAGCGCCCTGGGCGCTTATTACGTCGAATACGGTATATGTTATGCATGGTATGACTTGACTATTGTGTTGACAGGTATGAGAGACAGAACTTCCGGCACACCATGAAGTACACCCTGTCCACGTGGGACTTTGCCGGCCAGGAGGAGTTCTACAGTACACACCAGTGCTTCCTGTCTAATAGGGCTCTCTATCTGGTCAGTGGCAGTGGTCATCACTCTTGATATTCATACCCATACCGAGCTCTCAGTCCTGTGCCCTGTGGAATTCGCAGTCCTATAATAATGGGTTTGAGTCCCACATTTGCCCTCATGATGAGTTTTGGTATGTCAGCGCCATACATGTGCTCTTGAGTTTAACAAAGGGGTAAACATCTAAGACCTGCATCACTTCAGGCTTTCCTCTCAAGCTGACATGCCATGATATAACTGAAAACCTGTTCAAAGTGGTGTTAAACCCAACACATGCAAATCAATCATTTGTGAGCATATTTATTCTATTCATGTAATGATCACAGCACTGTTGCAGTAATTGAGGTGTGATGCCTTTACACTGTTCTGAGGACAGAGTGAGTGAGTGAGTATGGTTTTACGCTGCTTTTAGCAATATTCCAGCAATATCACGGCGGGGGACACCAGAAATGGGCTTCACAAATTGTACCCATGTCGAGAAATCGTACCCGGGTCTTCGGAGTGACGAGCGAACGCTTTAACCACAAAAGCTAGTACCTTTCTTGCATAATTAGACCTGTGAAGATCCGGGGTAGAATAGGTCTTCAGCAACCCATGCTTGCTGTAAGAGGCAACTATGCTTGTCGTAAAAGGCGACTAACAGGATCGGGTGGTCAGGCTCGCTGACTTGGTTGATGCATGTCATCGATCCCAACTGCGTGGAGTGATGCACATGATGTCAATCACTGGATTGTCTGATCCAGACCCGATTATTTACAGACCGCCGTCATATAGCAGGAATATTGCTGAGTGCGGCGTAAAACCACAAACAAACAAACAAAACTTGCATAATTAAGTTACAAGCACCTGTTCTGAAACGTCACATTCGAAGAATAAAGAAACTGAAATCCATGTCACCCCAGTCTTCGTTGATACCACAGCTTGTAAAGGCAGCTGACCGATACTATGTGTGTTGCCAGGTTGTGTATGATGTCAGCAGGGGGCCGGAGGAGATTGACCGGCTCAAACCCTGGTTGTCCAACATCCACTTCCGGGCACCGGGATGTCCAGTCATCGTTGTCGGGACTCACTTTGACAAGTTGGATCCTGGTGAGACCTTCTCAGAGGCCGATATATCACCCCAAATCAGCAGGAGATACCTAAACTATTCCCAAATTGGAATGACAAATTGCCCAATTCATGTTACTTACTGTAAGATATATACATAATGTTGTGGTTTTGTTGACATAACAGGACCAATGAGGGGGAGGAGACATTATTGTATTGAATGCATTGTTAAAATTCGTCTGAATTTAAGAAAATAAGAACTTTAATTCCAATTCCAATATTCCAATTTTGCACGAAATATTGATATTTTTTTGTTGCCAATTTGCCTGACAAGTGGGGTACTCTATGTATTGCACATACAGCAAATGTACAACAATGTATGTTTTACAATCAGAAAGAGACATCAGCTGATCAATTCTGTTGTGGAAATGACATAAAGTAATCTTCAACAATGAGCTGTCCTCATTCCTAACATCTGTTTTGGTGACTAAACTTGCCAAATAGTTCAGTAAAACTAAGATGAGAGAGACCTAACAAAGATAGTTTCCTTGATATCTATGCCACTGTGGTTAGTATTATTTGGCAATTGTGAGTTGAAAGTGAAATGTTTGAAAGTGAAAGTTAAACGGTTTGTTGAGTGAAAGTGATGACACCTGTTCATGTCTTGTTTCCAGAGCATGCAGCCGACCAGATTGACGAGATGGAAGCAAAACTGTATGAGCTTTCAAAGAAACCAGGTCAGTCATTTAGTGGAATCTTTCTGTGGAGAAGCCTAGTGGTTAAGGCATTTGCTTGTCAAGCCAAAGACTCAAGATCCATTTCTCATGCAGGCCAATCCCCTTTGTGTTTGTATGTGTATTCCCAGGTTTCCCAGAATTCAACTGTACAGCTGTTGTTGTGTATTCCGAGGTTTCCCAGAATTCAACTGTACAGCTGTTGTGTATTCCTAGGTTTCCCAGAATTCAACTGTACAGCTGTTGTTGTGTATTCCCAGGTTTCCCAGAATTCAACTTTACAGCTGTTGTTGTGTATTCCCAGGTTTCCCTGAGCTCAACTGTACAGCTGTTGTTGTATATTCCCAGGTTTCCCAGAATTCAACTTTACAGCTGTTGTTGTATATTCCCAGGTTTCCCAGAACTCAACTGTACAGCTGTTGTTGTATATTCCCAGGTTTCCCTGAGCTCAACTGTACAGCTGTTGTTGTATATTCCCAGGTTTCCCAGAATTCAACTTTACAGCTGTTGTTGTGTATTCCCGGGTTTCCCAGGGCTCAACTGTACAGCTGTTGTTGTATATTCCTGGGTTTCCCAGAATTCAACTTAACAGCTGTTGTTGTGTATTCCCGGGTTTCCAGGAATTCAACTGTACAGCTGTTGTTGTGTATTCCCAGGTTTCCCAGAACTCAACTGTACAGCTGTTGTTGTGTATTCCCAGGTTTCCCAGAACTCAACTGTACAGCTGTTGTTGTGTATTCCCAGGTTTCCCAGAATTCAACTTTACAGCTGTTGTTGTGTATTCCCAGGTTTCCCAGAGTTCAACTGTACAGCTGTTGTTGTGTATTCCCAGGTTTCCCAGGGCTCAACTGTACAGCTGTTGTTGTGTATTCCCGGGTTTCCCAGAACTCAACTGTATAGCTGTTTTATATTACCAGGTTTCCCCGAGCTCAACTGTACGGCGGTTGTTGATGCTACCAAGGAGAACCTGGAGGTGGAGAGGTTGCGGAGACGGGTGAAGGAGGTCATTGATAGGTAGGAGTTATCAGAGCCTCTAGCCTTCCACCTACACTGAACTTGGCATAACATACCCTAATAATGAACACAGACTTACAAGATCATAACAAAGAAAATGGACCTAGAGTTATTTGTAATGGAAAGTTCTTATGTGATAACATTAATGTATTGAACCTGCTGAACTATGTAAAAGTGATCAATAACCATTTAGGTGGAATTTTACTGGCATAGTTTGACATTTTGATATGTGGCACTGTTGACACTTTTTCACTCACTCACTCACTCACTCACTTACTCACTCACTCACTCACTCACTCACTCACTCTTAATCTGTGTTGTATGCGCTCGTGTCTGTTTTCAGTTACAAGGTCAGAGGTCAGCTAGTAATGGGTCAGAAGGTTCCAGCGAGCTATGTGGTAGGTTCATAGTGATTGTTGCTGATGTGTATGTGGAATTTCATCTGAATTTGGAGAACAAATGGACAGAAGTGTTAAGGCAACACTGACATTCTAGATAATGTGTCTGATCACAGAAGGAAATTTTTGTTTTGGATCTTCTTGATGAATCAGGGAGAGACTTTAAGATAGATGGTATCAACTGTATTGGATATGATTGTTGATGAGGTTAGGCTGTATAAACACTGTGTGTTCCATGTGTTTTCCATGTACGTTCAATGTGTGTTCCATGTGTGTTACATGTCTGTTCAATGTGTGTTAAATGTCTTCCATGTGTGTTCCATGTACGTTCAATGTGTGTTCCATGTGTGTTCAGTGTACGTTCAATGTGTGTTAAATGTGTGTTCCATGTGTGTTCCATGTGAGTTCACTGTGTGTTTCATGTGTGTTTCATGTCTGTTCAATGTGTGTTAAATGTGTGTTCCATGTACGTTCAATGTGTGTTAAATGTGTGTTCCATGTGAGTTCAGTGTGTGTTCCATGTGTGTTCCATGTGTGTTCCATGTGTGTTCCATGTGAGTTCAGTGTGTGTTCCATGTGTGTTACATGTGTGTTCCATGTGTGTTACATGTGTGTTCCATGTGTGTTCCATGTGAGTTCCATGTGTGTTACATGTGTGTTACATGTGTGTTACATGTGTGTTACATGTGTGTTCCATGTGAGTTCAGTGTGTGTTCCATGTGTGTTCCATGTGAGTTCAGTGTGTTCCATGTGTGTTACATGTGTGTTCTATGTGTGTTCCATGTGTGTTACATGTGTGTTCCATGTGTGTTACATGTGTGTTCCATGTGTGTTCCATGTGAGTTCAGTGTGTTCCATGTGTGTTACATGTGTGTTCTATGTGTGTTCCATGTGTGTTACATGTGTGTTCCATGTCTGTTCCATGTACGTTCAATGTGTGTTAAATGTGTGTTCCATGTGAGTTCAGTGTGTGTTCCATGTGTGTTCCATGTGTGTTCCATGTGTGTTCCATGTGAGTTCAGTGTGTGTTCCATGTGTGTTACATGTGTGTTACATGTGTGTTCCATGTGTGTTCCATGTGAGTTCCATGTGTGTTACATGTGTGTTACATGTGTGTTACATGTGTGTTACATGTGTGTTCCATGTGTGTTCCATGTGAGTTCAGTGTGTGTTCCATGTGTGTTCCATGTGAGTTCAGTGTGTTCCATGTGTGTTCCATGTGTGTTCTATGTGTGTTCCATGTGTGTTACATGTGTGTTCCATGTGTGTTCCATGTGAGTTCAGTGTGTGTTCCATGTGTGTTACATGTGTGTTACATGTGTGTTCCATGTGTGTTCCATGTGAGTTCAGTGTGTGTTCCATGTGTGCTCCATGTGTGTTCCATGTGTGTTCCATGTGTGTTCCATGTGTGTTCCATGTGTGCTACATGTGTGCTCCATGTGTGTTCCATGTGTGTTCCATGTGAGTTACATGTGTGTTCCATGTGTGTTCCATGTGAGTTACATGTGTGTTCCATGTGTGTTCCATGTGAGTTCCATGTGTGTTACATGTGTGTTCCATGTGTGTTACATGTGTGTTCCATGTGTGTTACATGTGTGTTCCATGTGTGTTCCATGTGTGTTACATGTGTGTTCCATGTGAGTTCAGTGTGTTCCATGTGTGTTCCATGTGTGTTCCATGTGAGTTCCATGTGAGTTCAGTGTGTGTTACATGTGTGTTACATGTGTGTTACATGTGTGTTACATGTGTGTTCCATGTGAGTTCCATGTGAGTTCAGTGTGTTCCATGTGTGTTACATGTGTGTTCTATGTGTGTTCCATGTGTGTTACATGTGTGTTCCATGTGTGTTCCATGTGAGTTACATGTGAGTTACATGTGAGTTACATGTGTGTTCCATGTGTGTTACATGTGTGTTCCATGTGTGTTACATGTGTGTTCCATGTGTGTTCCATGTGTGTTACATGTGTGTTCCATGTGAGTTCAGTGTGTGTTACATGTGTGTTCTATGTGTGTTCCATGTGTGTTACATGTGTGTTCCATGTCTGTTCCATGTGAGTTCAGTGTGTGTTCCATGTGTGTTACATGTGTGTTACATGTGTGTTCCATGTGTGTTCCATGTGAGTTCAGTGTGTGTTCCATGTGTGCTCCATGTGTGTTCCATGTGTGTTACATGTGTGTTCCATGTGAGTTCAGTGTGTTCCATGTGTGTTCCATGTGTGTTCCATGTGAGTTCCATGTGAGTTCAGTGTGTGTTCCATGTGAGTTCCATGTGTTCCATGTGTGTTACATGTGTGTTCTATGTGTGTTCCATGTGTGTTACATGTGTGTTCCATGTGTGTTCCATGTGAGTTCAGTGTGTTCCATGTGTGTTCCATGTGTGTTCTATGTGTGTTCCATGTGTGTTACATGTGTGTTCCATGTGTGTTCCATGTGAGTTCACTGTGTGTTCCATGTGTGTTCTATGTGTGTTCCATGTGTGTTCCATGTGAGTTCAGTGTGTGTTCCATGTGTGTTCCATGTGTGTTCCATGTGTGTTCATGTGAGTTCAGTGTGTGTTCCATGTGTGTTCCATGTGTGTTCCATGTGTGTTCCATGTGTGTTCCATGTGTGTTCCATGTGTGTTACATGTGTGTTCCATGTGAGTTCAGTGTGTGTTACATGTGTGTTCCATGTGTGTTCCATGTGTGTTCCATGTGTGTTACATGTGTGTTCCATGTGAGTTCAGTGTGTGTTCCATGTGTGTTCCATGTGTGTTCCATGTGTGTTCCATGTGAGTTCAGTGTGTGTTCCATGTGTGTTCCATGTGTGTTCATGTGAGTTCAGTGTGTGTTCCATGTGTGTTCCATGTGTGTTCCATGTGTGTTCCATGTGTGTTACATGTGTGTTCCATGTGAGTTCAGTGTGTGTTACATGTGTGTTCTATGTGTGTTCCATGTGTGTTACATGTGTGTTCCATGTCTGTTCCATGTGAGTTCAGTGTGTGTTCCATGTGTGTTACATGTGTGTTACATGTGTGTTCCATGTGTGTTCCATGTGTGTTCCATGTGAGTTCAGTGTGTGTTCCATGTGTGCTCCATGTGTGTTCCATGTGTGTTACATGTGTGTTCCATGTGAGTTCAGTGTGTTCCATGTGTGTTCCATGTGTGTTACATGTGAGTTCAGTGTGTGTTCCATGTGAGTTCCATGTGAGTTCAGTGTGTTCCATGTGTGTTACATGTGTGTTCTATGTGTGTTCCATGTGTGTTACATGTGTGTTCCATGTGTGTTCCATGTGAGTTCAGTGTGTTCCATGTGTGTTACATGTGTGTTCTATGTGTGTTCCATGTGTGTTACATGTGTGTTCCATGTGTGTTCCATGTGAGTTCACTGTGTGTTCCATGTGTGTTCTATGTGTGTTCCATGTGTGTTCCATGTGAGTTCAGTGTGTGTTCCATGTGTGTTCCATGTGTGTTCCATGTGTGTTCATGTGAGTTCAGTGTGTGTTCCATGTGTGTTCCATGTGTGTTCCATGTGTGTTCCATGTGTGTTACATGTGTGTTCCATGTGTGTTCCATGTGTGTTACATGTGTGTTCCATGTGAGTTCAGTGTGTTTTACATGTGTGTTCTATGTGTGTTCCATGTGTGTTACATGTGTGTTCCATGTCTGTTCCATGTGAGTTCAGTGTGTGTTCCATGTGTGTTACATGTGTGTTACATGTGTGTTCCATGTGTGTTCCATGTGAGTTACATGTGTGTTCCATGTGTGTTACATGTGTGCTCCATGTGTGTTCCATGTGTGTTCCATGTGTGTTCCATGTGAGTTACATGTGTGCTCCATGTCTGTTCCATGTGTGTTCCATGTGTGTTCCATGTGTGTTCCATGTGTGTTCCATGTGTGTTCCATGTGTGCTACATGTGTGTTCCATGTGTGTTCCATGTGTGTTCCATGTGAGTTACATGTGTGTTCCATGTGTGTTCCATGTGAGTTACATGTGTGTTCCATGTGTGTTACATGTGTGTTCCATGTGTGTTACATGTGTGTTCCATGTGTGTTCCATGTGAGTTACATGTGAGTTACATGTGAGTTACATGTGTGTTCCATGTGTGTTACATGTGTGTTCCATGTGTGTTACATGTGTGTTACATGTGTGTTCCATGTGTGTTCCATGTGTGTTCCATGTGTGTTCCATGTGTGTTACATGTGTGTTACATGTGTGTTCCATGTGTGTTCCATGTGTGTTACATGTGTGTTACATGTGTGTTCCATGTGAGTTCACTGTGTGTTCCATGTGTGTTCCATGTGTGTTCCATGTGTGTTCCATGTGAGTTCAGTGTGTGTTCCATGTGTGTTCCATGTGTGTTCATGTGAGTTCAGTGTGTGTTCCATGTGTGTTCCATGTGTGTTCCATGTGTGTTACATGTGTGTTCCATGTGTGTTCCATGTGTGTTCCATGTGTGTTACATGTGTGTTCCATGTGAGTTCAGTGTGTGTTACATGTGTGTTCTATGTGTGTTCTATGTGTGTTACATGTGTGTTCCATGTGTGTTCCATGTGAGTTCAGTGTGTGTTCCATGTGTGTTACATGTGTGTTACATGTGTGTTCCATGTGTGTTCCATGTGAGTTCAGTGTGTGTTCCATGTGTGCTCCATGTGTGTTACATGTGTGTTACATGTGTGTTCCATGTGTGTTCCATGTGAGTTACATGTGTGTTCCATGTGTGTTCCATGTGTGTTCCATGTGAGTTCAGTGTGTGTTCCATGTGTGTTACATGTGTGTTACATGTGTGTTCCATGTGTGTTCATGTGAGTTCAGTGTGTGTTCCATGTGTGTTACATGTGTGTTCCATGTGTGTTCCATGTGAGTTCAGTGTGTGTTCCATGTGTGTTACATGTGAGTTCAGTGTGTTCCATGTGTGTTCCATGTGAGTTCCATGTGAGTTACATGTGTGTTACATGTGTGTTCCATGTGTGTTCAGTGTGTTCCATGTGTGTTCCATGTGAGTTCCATGTGAGTTCAGTGTGTTCCATGTGTGTTCCATGTGAGTTCAGTGTGTTCCATGTGTGTTCCATGTGTGTTTCATGTGAGTTCAGTGTGTTCCATGTGTGTTCCATGTGTGTTCCATGTGTGTTACATGTGTGTTCCATGTGAGTTCCATGTGAGTTCAGTGTGTTCCATGTGTGTTCCATGTGAGTTCAGTGTGTGTTACATGTGAGTTACATGTGTGTTCCATGTGTGTTCCATGTGTGTTACATGTGTGTTACATGTGAGTTCAGTGTGTTCCATGTGTGTTACATGTGAGTTCAGTGTGTCCATGTGATTTCAGTGTGTTCTATGTGTGTTCCATGTGTCTTCCATGTGTCTTCCATGTCTGTTCAATGTGTGTTCCATGTCTGTTCAATGTGTGTTACATGTGTGTTACATGTGTGTTCCATGTCTGTTCAATGTGTGTTACATGTGTGTTCCATATGAGTTCAGTGTGCGTTCCATGTGTGTTCCATGTGTGTTCCATGTGTGTTCCATGTACATTCCATGTGTCTGTTCTGTATGTGTTCCATGTGGCTTTCGTGCCTGGTCCACGTGTCTGTTCTGTGTGTGTTATGTGTGTGTTATGTGTGTGTTATGTGTGTGTTCTGTGTGTGTTATGTGTGTGTTTATGTGTGATTCCAGCGCCTAGCAGAGCTTCTGTCAGAGGAGGCGCGGACCCTGGAAAGCATCCGCTACCCAGTTATCCGACAGGGGAGGCTGGTACAGATAGTTCGGAACGAGGGCCTGGACCTGTACGAGGAGGAGGAACTACAGCAGGTGACAGAGGGATTGTGGGATACACTTCATTCAATATGTGTTACAAAATATGAGAAATGAATGAATAAGTTATATAATAATAATAATAATATATATATATATATAAAAGATATATATATAAGATATATGTTTATATATATCAGAAGATGATGGACCAACGTGGACTTTATTATTTTATTATATATTACATGTACACCGAGTGGACATTTACCTCATTTTTGTATATATATATATATATATATATATATTCTTTCTTAGAAACCAAACTCAGCAATATTGAAGCTAATGTAACAGATGTCCATAGATAATGGCCAGACCACACAATCCAGTGATTGCCATCATGAGCATAGATCCATGCAATTGGGAAACAATGACATTCACTTCCTCAAGTCACTTGGCCTGACCATGAGTTCATGCCAAACTGCATTTTGTTCAGCTAACACTCTCTTACACTAAATTTGTGTTTTGTGATTTCAAAATAAAATTCAAAAGGTGCCTTTCATAACCAATTTCATAAAGATGTCATGTGTCAGAGATTTATTGTCTTGTTGATTCTTACAAAACATTTTCTACAAATATTCCCCAAAGAAAACACTGCAATTAAATTTGGGGCGAGTGCTTTTTAAAAAAAAAAGAGAATCCCAAATCAAAGAAGCATCCTGCTGATAGTACCTCCAGTGGGGATGAACCATGTACTCGATGCCACATTCCGCAATTCACTGTGAATATACTTTCATCATACTCACTTAATCCAGACTTTCAGTGGCTACCATCCTGACAACAGGCTTTCACAGTCTTTATAAGAAAGTAGAGTAACCTCCCCTTTCCATTTCAGGCTGTGCGGTTCCTCCATGAGGGCGGGGTCCTGCTCCACTACAACGAGACGGCGCTGCAGCTGAGAGACTTCTACTTCATCAACCCCGGCTGGTTGTGTCGCATGATGGCCCAAGTGGTCACTGTCAGAAATATCAATCCATTCATTGATTCAACTGGGGTAATTAAGAGGAAACTAAATCTTGGTTTTTGAAATTATTTTGATGCTCTCACTTTGTCTTTTAGGTTATTACTTAGAAATAAACCCAGACTTTGTTAGAGCCAAAGCACATTTGTCACATGCGTTGTATTTCACTGTGTTGAGGCCAGCTTAGTTGCCATGGTTATGATGCTGCCTGTATAAACAGTAAGCTGTAGAAACATCATGTTGTTACCACCGATGGTCATATAAGGCTGTGCAGAGAAACATTGGTTCTAATCCTAATTTCAACCTATCTTGTCAGCATCATACTGAGATCCTACTGATATACTGCGTCTAGATTGACATCATTAGAGATTTCAGCCATGTTGGTGGCCATCTTGGATTTTCTACCAGCAGTGCCACTGCTGAGCTGGAGTGATATCTGGAAATCTTTGAATGGTTCAGCGTATAAGTGTGCCAGGTTTGGTGCTCCAGCTGTATGACGACAGTCTTCGATAATCGAGTCTGGACCAGACAATCCAGTGATTGAGGTCCACACAATTGGGATACGATGACATGCATCAACCAAGTCAGTGAGCCTGACCACCCGATCCCGTTAGTCGCCTCTTACGACAAGCATAGTCACCTTTTACGGCAAGCATGGGTTGCTGAAGACATATTCCACCTCGGTCTTCTTGTGATGTATATTTCTTCGTTTTTTTACAGATAATGAAGAAGAGTGATGTCAACTTGCTGTTCCGGGGAGAATCTTTCCCCAACAGCCTAATACCACAGTACCTCAGACTCCTTGAGAAGTAAGTCAAAGATCATTGTAGTAAGTCAGGTTTACTCGACTTTGAAATCAAAGCCATGGTGAGTGGATCCTGGCATGAGTAGTGAGTGAGTGAGTGAGTTGGGTTTAACGCCACTTTTAGCAGTATTATATCACTACGTGTCAGCTTAATGTGGGAGGAAAGCCCCAAGTGATGCAGGTCTCAGATGTTTACCACTTCGGTGAAACCCACGAGCAAGGGTATGGTGCTGACAAACCAAGAAACATAATCATAATCAGGGCGAACCGGGATTCGAAACCCACAATCGTAGGTTTCTGGCGTGCAAAAGGGGCGCAACTCTGCACAGCGAATTGCGGCGCCTTAGACGACTGGGCCACCCTTATGCCCCCCCACTTGATTTCTAAGGGGTGGGTGGGAAGATATTTTATTTACATATTTTCATGTTCTTGTTTCAGATTTGAGATTGCATTACCAAGGAATGAGGAAGAGTTACTGGTCCCTTGTCGTCTTCCTGAACAAAAACCTGCCCTCAAAATGCCCAACCTTGCCAAGCATGGTAGGTTTACAAGGTGTTGACATTTTGGAGGACCGGCCATTTATTACAGGGGAGGTGGTTTTTGATGAACTTATGTATTGAAAATAATTACTCTCCCCTAATACTTGTCATATTTTGGGATGACTCTCTCAAAGTCGTTGTACATTTTTTCATGACCCATCCAATATGTATATTATTTTTTATGACCCTAGCCGAGAGATGGGCATATTTTGTTGTTGTGACACTCCCCTCTTTTCCTCTGACCCATCCACCCCTGTAATAATTGACCGGTCCTTTATGAAGAATGAAACTGGGGGGCCCAGGCTGGAATAGTCCACAAGCACTCTACTGCTTGTCAAGGGAAGACGTAACTGGATTGGTGGGATGTTGCTCATAATATCAACCTCTCTATCACTCATGAGTACCTGGATGCCCTGAAATAATGCTCACTGCAGCCTAAAATGACAAACAAATACAAAGAATTACTCTCCTTTTTTATTTCATGGATAATAATAATAGTCAGCTTCTATGTCACATACTCCATGCACAATGCAAGCTCGAAGTGCACAAGTCACGATATCGCTGAAATACTGCCGATTTGACATTAAATATTAACTCACTCACTCGAAATGCACAATCACAGTGAAAAAAGCTAATCTTGAAGGCAATCAGGAACAGATGAGTTTTTTGGGTGAGACTTGAAGAGTGAAAAGCTTGTAGACTGTTTCAGTTTCAGAGGGAGATTATTCCACGCAGAGAGACTAATGCACCAACTGATTTCCATTCTAAATTGTGAACATTTCTTGAATGTATTCATTTCTTGTACTTGCAGAATTTCTGTGAATTTTTCTTTCATGGACAGTGATGATTAATTCCTTGCAATAAAATGTTCTTATAAACATAACTTCAAATGACATTACTATAGCAGCGTAAAAAGAAGTATCTCATGGCTATAAACGGGTGGATAAGCCAAATGAAATTCACAACATGCAGCACAGAGTCTTCTCCCTTGTCTGCCAGGATCTGCTGGTTCTTGGTTTGTGTCCCCAATTCCCCAAGTCTTTACAACATCAAAACCATGCTGTTTTTTTTTCACAAACTGCTAAATATCTAAGATCTGCATTTCTTTTGGCCTGCTTCTCACATTATTCTCCCAACAGTGATGGGACTGAACTAGTGAAGTGACATTAATCACAAATAATTCCATCAATAAATCAGTAATTAATCTCTAACATATCTTATAAGTAATTGAAAGAGAACAGGCAGGGATATTTTAGCTATGAAATCCTCAGAGAAGGTAACTTTATTCTTTGTCCTTTTTTGGCACATCCTTGCCAAAATATGTCATCGTGTCCGTTGTCTTGTGTTCCAGAGAAGATATCTCGGATCTACTCCATGCCGTACACCCCCCTGGGCTTCTGGTCCCGCCTCATCACGCGCCTCATCGTCTTCTCCAACAGCAATGTCACCGAGGTCAGTGGCACACTGCCTGCACCAATCTTTCATCAACTGAACCAATTCACTTTGTTATCTATGCTTACGTCAGTATACAAATATATTTATACAAATATGAAGAAAAAAAATGTAATTTTCTTTTTCTGAAAATGTAATGAAAAAACATGTGTTACCGGTATACAAATAAGAAGCAAATCTGAAAATATTTGGGGTTATTTATAGGTGTGAACTTCTGTCATATAGCTGGAATATTGCTGAGTGCGGCGTTAAACAACAAACAAACAAACAAATTATAGGTGTGATATAAATGTAAAGAAATAATCATTGCAGTTTGACTTTTACAATATTCCTGATGAGTCAGATTGTGTCTGTGTGAATATGTTCCCAAAGAACATTTCGGCAGTTTTGTTCCCGTGGAACAATATGACCAGGGAAAAACATCCATGGGAACAAAACTCCTGGTATATCGATTTCTTTAGAACAAATGTTCAGGGGAACGGATTTGCACTCACATCTGCCTGCACCAATATTTCATTACCTGGGAACCAATTCTTTGTCATCTGTTCTAATGTAATGAAGAATGTATATTTATGCACATTAGAAGCAAATATTAGACAAGTCGTATACTGGTGCTGCATGTATTTTCCAGACCATGATGCAGTTGACGAAGCAACCGCATCTTCAGTACTGGAGACAGGGCATCCTCGTCAGGTGGTCAAATGTAACTATGATCCTTCTCTAGGTTACCTCCCTCCCATCCACCCGTCAACTCATCCACATATGCATCCATCAACTCACCCACCCACCCACCACCCATCAACTCACCAACATATCCACCCATCAACACCCCACCTGTGCTTCCATCAACACCCCATCTGTGCATCCATCAACTCACCCACCTGTGCATCCATCAACTCACCCACCTGTGCATCCATCAACTCACCTACCTGTGCACCCATCAACTCATCCACCTGTGCTTCCATCAACTCACCCACCTGTGCATCCATCAACACCCCACCTGTGCATCCATCAACTCACCCACCTGTGCATCCATCAACTCACCTACCTGTGCACCCATCAGCTCATCCACCTGTGCATCCATCAACACCCCACCTGTGCATCCATCAACTCGCCCAAGCGTGCATCCATCAACTCAGCCACCTGTGCATCCATCAACACCCCACCTGTGCATCCGTCAACTCAGCCACCTGTGCATTATTAACTCACCAACCCCCCACCCATCAACTCACCCACATACTCACCCATCAACTCATCTACCTGTGCATCCATCAACTCACCAACCTGTGCATCCATCAACTCACCCACCTATCCACCCATCAACTCATCCACCCATCAACTCATCGACCAGTGCATCCATCAACTCTCCAACCCACTTTCCATCAATTCATTCACCCATCAATGCACCAACCTGTGCATCCATCAACGCTCCAACCCACTTTCCATCAATTCATTCACCCATCAATGCACCAACCTGTGCATCCATCAACTCACACAGCCACCACCCATCAACTCACCTACCAATCCACCTGTGCATTCATCAACTCACCCATGCACCATCCATCAGCTCACCTACCATCAACTCACTCACCCAGTCAGTGTACTGTTTCAGACTGCCTTCTTCCTGGTGGATGCTACCACCCACCCTCCCATCCATCAACTCACCTTCCCAACCATCAACTCACCTTCCCATCCATCAACTCACCCTCCCATCCATCAAATCACCCTTCCATCCATCAACTCATCCTTCCATCCATCAACTCACCCTCCCATCCATCAACTCACCCTCCCATCCATCAAATCACCCTTCCATCCATCAACTCACCTTCCCAACCATCAACTCACCTTCCCATCCATCAACTCACCCTCCCATCCATCAAATCACCCTTCCATCCATCAACTCATCTTCCCATCCATCAACTCACCCTTCCATCCATCAACTCATCCTTCCATCTATCAACTCACCCTCCCATCCATCAACTCACCCTTCCATCCATCAACTCATCCTTCCATCCATCAACTCACCCTTCCATCCATCAACTGATCCTTCCATCCATCAGCTCACCCTTCCATCCATCAACTCACCTTCCCATCCATCAACTCACCTTCCCATCCATCAACTCACCCTTCCATCCATCAACTCACCTTCCCATCCATCAACTCACCTTCCCATCCATCAACTCACCCTTCCATCCATCAACTCACCCTCCCATCCATCAACTCACCCTTCTATCCATCAACTCACCTTCCCATCCATCAACTCACCCTTCCATCCATCAACTGATCCTTCCATCCATCAACTCACCCTCCCATCCATCAACTCACCCTTCCATCCATCAACTGATCCTTCCATCCATCAACTCACCCTTCCATCCATTAACTCACCTTCCCATCCATCAACTCACCTTCCCATCCATCAACTCACCCTTCCATCCATCAACTCATCCTCCCATCCATATACTCACCTTCCCATCCATCAACTCACCCTTCCATCCATCAACTCATCCTTCCATCCATCAACTCACCCTCCCATCCATCAACTCACCCTTCCATCCATCAACTCATCCTTCCATCCATCAACTCAGCCTTCCATCCATCAACTCAGCCTTCCATCCATCAACTCACCTTCCCATCCATCAACTCACCCTCCCATCCATCAAATCATCCTTCCATCCATCAACTCACCCTCCCATCCATCAACTCACCCTTCCATCCATCAACTCACCCTCCCATCCATCAACTCACCTTCCCATCCATCAACTCACCTTCCCATCCATCAACTCACCCTTCCATCCATCAACTCACCTTCCCATCCATCAACTCACCCTTCCATCCATCAACTCACCTTCCCATCCGTCAACTCACCCTTCCATCCATCAACTCACCTTCCCATCCATCAACTCACCCTTCCATCCATTAACTCACCCTCCCATCCATCAACTCACCCAGTCAGTGTACTGTTTCAGACTGCCTTCTTCCTGGTGGATGCTACGAGTCAGCAGGAGTGTGAGGAGCTGTACATCACAGTGCCGGCCTCACAGCATGGATACCAGTAGGTTCACAGATATACGCTTTTGCTATGATTAGGTTCTTCTAAATTAGTTTATGGATGAACAGAGGGAAAAAAATTAAGTCTATAGATAAAATATCGTTACAATTTCCAGCTACATACATGTTCACAATTTCATATGCATAAAATAAACAGATGTGTAGCTGCTAAGCATCTCAAGGTAGATTAGATAGTAGAAAGATGCTGCAACCAAGTCTATGTATCAGCAAATAAAAGCATTTGCCATGCACCACTGCACTGATGGCTTAAGGGAACACCACCAGAGAGGTTTGTTATGGAAGCTGATTACAGTGTTAACAGTTTGTGTTGGGGGAAAAAAACATCAAAACTGGTCAACCCTGTGTATAAGATGACCCCCCTTGAAAGCTCACTAATTCTACAAACAAAAAACTCGCCTTATACACATCGATATACAGGACTAATTGTTAAGCAAGATTTTGAAAAAAAATTGCTTGAATTGTTCCAAACCAAAAAAGTGGAAATAAATCATATGTGAACAGTTATTTTTGTTCCTTCCAAATCAGGCAAACCATATTATATGGTCAGCTAGCATTACAAGCATTATAACGACCAGGTCTCTCGTTTGTACAGCTAAAGCGCTTTTTTGATAATGAAATATAAAACATCATGTATCTGCCTCATTTTTCTTTCATCAAGCCTACTTTGCATGTTAACATTTTGAAAATGTTTCTATAAAATATTGACATAGGAGGATTCAAGTTAATGAATAGTTTATGCACCAACAGGAATCGACTGTATTAATAATCAATAGGGATATAGGGAAAATACCTGGTTTGGGATGAGTCCAAATTTACTTTCCGGGTACCCAACCCCCAATTACCCAACCCGACCCGGGTACCCACAATTAAATTTGTTGACTACATTATTCACACTCAGATCATATAAAACAAATAATTTCCAAGAAAATACGGTTGTGTAATATGGGTCGTCGCCATTATTTTTTTTGTGTTATTGTTGCAGCCCTTATACAATATCTCATGTGACTAACCATGGGTCCGGGTAGTCCTGTGGGTACCGGGTCCAACACAGGATCCACCCACCCAGATCTAGAAAATACTCTTTCTGTTGCTGTTGCAGACTGATGGGTTTTATGGCTGACCACATCGATGCTCTCATAGATGAGTGGTACCCTGGACTAACCAGCATCGACCCCATCCTCGGCAGGGAGCTCCTGGAGAAGTTTGTACCCTGTGTCAAGTGTAAAGGTACATTTCGGCACAGTGATGTCATAGCATTACAACACTGTCGCAACATCATTTGCATATCGACCCGTGAAGATTCCGGGGTAGAATAGGTCTTCAGCAACCCATGCTTGCCGTAAAAGGCGACATTGCTTGTCGTAAAAGGCGACTAACGGGATTGGGTGGTCAGGCTCGCTGACTTGGTTGATGCATGTCATCGATCCCAATTGCGTGGATCGATGCTCATGATATTAATCACTGGTTTGTCTGGTCCTGAATCGATTATTTACAGACCGCCGTCATATAGCTGGAATATTGCTGAGTGCGGCGTTAAACAACAAACCAACCAACCAAATCATTTGCATATCACGTGACCGGATTTATCTTTTGTTTGTAAACAAACCTGCTTATTCTAAAAACACAGTAATTTGGGGTGGTGGAAGCCAATTGTTTTGTGGTTGTGCGATTGTTTTGTATAATTATTAAACATGCTGATGTATGTTGTTTTTTTTCCAGGGACTGAACCTTACAAGTTTGTGTTTGAGGACCTGCTACGACAGTCCGAGAGGAGTGACGTCATCAAATGTCCGTACCATGAAGATATTGTCCAGCTGGCTGATCTGGTGAGATATTTCTACATTTCTACATGTTTTCAGCATTGCACTTTGGTACAGCTGATGGCTATTGCTGGATAATTTTAATGTTTCCCGTTCTCATGATCACTTTATGTTGACAATTAATCGTCAACAACAACAAATATGACTTTTAATGATTCACATTTAACGTTTTAGCGTATATGTATCTATTCTTTGTCAACTAAAGTTTGTTTCAAGGCGTCAATAGCTGTAATCTGACCATGGTTGCTGTAAATAACTGTGAGTTGACGCAGTCCACCAATCACTTCATGCCCGGAAGATAATGCTTTTTAGGGAAATTCTTGATGATTTTGGGGGACCAAAAGAGCGTCACGTGCTGTATCCAGTGAATGGAGTTGTAACAGTGGTTCACTGTATTTGGTGTTTTTGTCGGCTTCATAAAATATATTATATTCAGTGCCATAGAGTATTTCAATTTATAACCTTTAAAAATTAGCCGACAAGGCACCAGGAATTTATATTAACCATTCCAGAACAATTTTAAACATGCCATTGCCACAAGGATACAGGGAATTTGAACAATGTCATTATCATCTTTATGAACAGATTTGAGATAAGATTGACTCTGACTCGATTAATATTGAATGAGTCAATATTAGCATATATGGAAGAATATTTTGTTTTCCATAATAATAAGAAATGTCTGTGTGTTTCGAAGGACCTGTAGATGATGTATAGGAAATGTACAACTCCTTGTTTCCCCCCCAGGCACCAGATGTGATGCTGAGAGATTTAGAAGATAAGTTCCACATGGATTGTGACCAGTTTGAGCTGAAGGAAAGGTTAGTGGAGGGGTTGATATGTCCACTATCTGCGGCAGTGATCAGTGGTTGTATTAGCCTCTGCATCACACTGGTGGTACATGAGCGGATACAGACTTGTATCCCCTGTCATGTGTGAGGGGTACATTGAAGTTTGGGCTCCATGCAACCGTCCATCCATGCTATTTCAATTTAAAGTTTCTTCAGAAACCGCTATAGATGACATTTGGAATACATATGTCATGGATATGTTGTCATAGTTGAAAAAACAAGAATTATTCTGAACTGATTTTCAGTGTTCCTGAATATTTTAATTTTGTTTATCGTTTCTTTTTCCAAGGCAAAACATTGGGTTTGTTTTTGGTGCCAACGAATTTCTTTCATGAAACTTTGGAAATGTATTAGACTAGTAAAGACTGGTGCATTTTGCATTTAGTATTTAGTAATCATATTTGTGTTAGAAATATGAGTTAGTCAAATTGTTGCTAGGGACTGGTAATTTATTATGGGTGGTGGTGGTGATGAGACTGTATGGTATGCCCTCGCCCCCCCCCATACATAATGTGCTAATTTATGACTTACTTATTACAAATAGTACTGTCATTTGTCCATGCTGCCTCACCCTCACCCCCCATCACACCCAACCTCCCATCACACCCCACCCCCAATCACACCCCGCCCCATATAGTTGTGATAGATTTTGACGACCCTCCCCTTTCTTAGCTGCGTCATTTTTTTATGACATCTAGATTACACATTACATGTGGCCTATGACGTATGTTTACTTGCAGTTCGGAGTACCTGCTTGGTGATGGAGGGTTCGGGGCCGTCTACAGGGCCATGTACAAGAACCAGGTAGGTCAACATGGGCAAGTGTATCATTAGGAGATGAACATGTGTGTTTTCAGATTTGTAGGTGTTAAGTTATTGAGGATTTGATGCCTGGATATTTTCTTTGGCAGCAAGGTCTTTCAAATATTAAAACCTTACCGGTATTTGAAAATGCCTGCAAATCTGAACATAATGTTTATCTAACGTTTTTTACCAATGAGATTGCAACACATACCACCATTTTATATTTTACACCTACTTGTATGGTGGTGTGTCAGGTCACAAATCAGGTGAAGTTAAGCAATGTTGGCCACAGAGAGTCCTTGCATGGGTAGTCCGCCTCCTTGGTCTAGTGGATAGGGTGTCTGCCCGGAGAGCGGAAGGTTGTGGGTTGGATCCCCGGCCACGTCATACCAAAAGATGGTACTTGTTAAAAGATGTTTCTTGTTGTTACCCTGTCTGGCGCTCGGCATTAAGGGGCTAAAACAAGGACTGGTTGGCTCGGAGTCAGTATACTGTGTCTCAGTGGGGTATTCATGTTAAACTGCAGCATGGTATCTCAGTGGGCTAGTGAAGAGTGAATATAATCCTCCCCTATTTTTTACCCTGGGGATGAAATTCTCTAGTGTCAGGATGATTCTCCCAAGTGAATTTGAACCCATGCCAGTGTGGCACTAAGGTAGGATACTATACTCTTGAGTAAAACTTCCCCCGGGATAATATTTAGGTAGGATATAATCCTTGCTTACACTAGCACTATAAAACCAGCATCAGTCCAGACAAGTACAAGCAGCCACACACACTCACACACACGTGCATGCACGTCGCTATATAAGTGCAATAATTTTGAACATAACCTTAAACCCCATTTCACCTCACCTCACCTCACCTCACCTCACCTCACCTCAGTACAGTATTACTGACAGGTAGCCATTGTATTATACAATGCCTTGTACAGTATTACTGACAGGTAGCCATTGTATTATACAATGCCTTGTACAGTATTACTGACAGGTAGCCATTGTATTATACAGTGCCTTGTACAGTATTACTGACTGGTAGCTATTGTATTATACAATGCCTCGTACAGGATTACTGACAGGTGGCCATTGTATTATACAATGCCTTGCACAGTATTACTAAATGATAAACTTTTTTATGGATAAGAAAAAGCAATATCTACGTCAGATCAGTTATATCAAGAAGATAAAAAAACAACTTCTACATATCGAACTATGTTAGCTGCAATAGATTTAAGAGGTTTCAGTAAATGGAGACATCTGATTGGCTTAGGTTTGGGGAATACTTCTTGGCTAATGAATATGGTAGGAGACTGTGTGTTATAACAGATAGTTCATTGTCACTCTGTATTGGTAATCCAATTGTTTTTTTCTGGCCAAGATATGATATAAATATAACAATGTTACTGGTACTTGAAATAATGAAAATGTTTTAGGTTGTTGCTGCCAAAGTCTTTGCTGCCATTGGTGATGTCCATCCTCACAAGATGCTGCGACAAGAGGTAGTTATCTCTTTCAATAAAGGACACAATACCGGTATGCGAAAAGACTGAAGGTCATCTGCAAGGGCAATCTCTCAACAGTTCAGACATCAGTTAGTCATTAGATCTACCTCAAAAGAGTTTTGGTCTGGATAGCCTAGTGGTTAATGAGTTTGCGTCGTCATGATGAAGGCCTGGGTTCTATTCCCCATATGGTATCAATGTGTGAAACCTATTTCTGGCATCCCCAGCTAGTATATTGTTGATTATTGCTAAAACCAGCAGATAACCATCCTCACTCACTCACTTGAAGGTGTTTTGGGTCAGTATGTGGCTGAAACAATAATGCAATGTTAACTTTTAACTCACTCACGTGAAGAGGTTTTAGGCATAAATTTATTCAGCATAAATTAACATATTGTATTTATTTTTATATTTGGAGTGTTATCTATACATATTAAAGGTAATGATACAAGTATACATTACAGAACTGAACACCATAGTTGTGCCTTCATTAATTATGTTGTCTGTCAAACTATCTTGTTTCACAAGTGGTAAATCAAGTCTTTTAAAGGCATTTAGAAGCGATATACACATAAGGAAGAGAAGTTATGGATGTCAACTTCTATATTATGAGGAAGACAACATTTCAGAGTACATACTTACTATAATAAAGAAGTTGACATCTATAAATTCTCTTCCTTAAAGTGGTAAATCTCTGGACTTGCATTACTTTGGCCTTCCTCTTTCATGACTAACATGACTGAAATGTCATAAGTTTATGTCAAGAATTTGGAAAAGCACAGCTCACTTTTAAATGGTCCACTAGGCATTGCAATGTTACCTTGGATCGTGTATCACTTCCAAGGATTGAGAGATGGCACGGGTGGCCCAGTCGCCTAAGGCGCCGCGATTCCCTGTGCAGAGTTGCGTGGGTTCAATTCGATTGTGGGTTCGAATCCCGGTTCACCCCGATTATGTTCTAGGTTTGTCAGCACCATACCCGTGCTCGTGGGTTTCATCACTTGGGGCTTTCCTCTCACATTAAGCTGACATGCTGTGAAATAACTGGAATACTGTTAAAAGCGACGTTAAACCCAACTCACTCACTCACTCAAGGGGACCCAGGGTAGCCTGATTGGTAGATTGGGTTTCTCTTAACCTTTACCACATGGATTACGCTCGCTCGCTCGCTCACTCACTCACTCACTCACTCACTCACTCACTCACTCACTCACTCACTCACTCACTCACTCAAGGGGACCCAGGGTAGCCTGATTGGTAGATTGTGTTTCTCTTAACCCTTACAACATGGATTACGCTTACGCTCATAACTACAATAACACAACTCACTCACTCACTCTTTCACTCACTCACTCACTCCAAGGATTGGGGTGAGTAACTGAGGTCATACCCATGATTATGTCATCCTATGTCATTTCTTGATCTGTTTTCCAGGCCACCATATTGAGACGGCTCAACCATCCCAGTGTGGTGTCACTCATCTCAGTTGGACTCCGCCCAAGCAGGGTGGTTGTGTTGGAGTTAGCTGCCCTTGGCTCACTGGGGTCGCTGTTGAAGAGCAACATGCCTCTTAGCAGATGTTTACAACACAGAATAGCTGTCCAGGTAGATTCTTGAACAGCTCCACAGATAAAATCCTTTTTGAAAAAATATGGTTTGAAATTTAGATCTAGTCTAAACTGGGACGATGGGGAAGCATTTATTGTCACGCTGAAGAAGCAGGCTCTATTCCCCACATGGGTACAATGTCTGAAGCCCATTTCTGGTGTCCCCTGCCCTCATATTGCTAGAATATTACTAAAAGCATCGTAAAACCACACTCACTCACTCTAGTCTAAACTGTTTTGTAGTATATATGTTGGGAATGCTGCAATCTGATTGGCTGAAAGACCTTTAATAGGATTGAATCACGATAATCATCTTTATTTGTTTCTCTTTATCTTTTGTTTTTTAATCCAAAATTAGTGTGTATATTGTAGCCCTATCAGTTTGTGGGGCGGTCAGGTAGCCTAGTGGTTAAAGCGTTCGCTCGTCACGCCGAAGACCCGGGTTCGATTCCCGACATGGGTACAATGCCCATTTCTGGTGTCCCCGCCGTGATATTGCTGGAATATTGCTAAAAGCAACGTAAAACCATACTCACTCACTCAACCCATCTGTTTGTTGTACCCAGTAGATGATATAGTCCAAAATGATTTTGAACATCTGAATATCCAGACATCATCCAATGGTTTCTCCCTAGGTGGCTGAAGGGCTGCAGTATCTCCATCTGCTGATGGTGGTGTATCGTGACCTTAAGCCGGACAACGTCCTTGTCTTCAGCAACTCACCCAGCGCCCTGGTAGGTACACATGGTTGAACACGGTCAAATGTAAATCGGTTAATTAATTCTATTAAGAATTGACTCCTGTATTTATTGTGCCCAGGTAGGTACACATGGTTGAACACGGTCACATGTAAATCGGTTAATTAATTCTATTAAGAATTAACTCCTGTATTTATTGTGCCCAGGTAGGTACACCTGGTTGAACGTGGTCACATGTAAATCGGTTAATTAATTCTATTAAGAATTGACTCCTGTATTTATTGTGCCCAGGTAGGTACACGTGGTTGAACACGTAAATCGGTGAATTCATTCATTTAAGAACTCATTTCATTTTTTTCTGTTTACGGATTATTTACAAGACAACATATAATGCTTGATATGGCTTGAATATTGCTGAATGCAGTTTATGGCAACATTCACTCACCTATTGGAACGCCTCATGTCAGCAACTCCTGTTATGCCTGCTGTGTGCAGGTGAACGCCAAGATATCAGACTACGGCATCTCCCAGTTCACGACTCTGTACGGGCTGACTGCCCAGGAGGGAACGCCAGCATACAGGGCCCCGGAGGTCGTCCGGAGGGAGACCTACTCCTTCCAGGCCGACGTCTTCTCGTTTGGCATCACCTTGTACTGCCTGTTAACTGGCCGCCATCCGTACGATGAACTGGAGTTCAAGTCAGAGATGGACAAGGCCGTCGCTGAGGTGAGTATTTGGTGCTAAATTGGTAAATATTCCACCAGCATGCTAAAATATGGGATTTAGAATATGACAATTAAATTCTAATGCCACATCATTTATTAGGCTTCATAAACATGTCTTTCAAACTAGCTGGGCTTAGGCTAAAAGTAAGAAATATTTGTGGGGATTCTGGAACAGAATATGTCTCCTGTACCCCATGCTTGATGGAGGAGCCAACTTAAGGGGATCAGGGACCCGTTCCTCAAAGCGATCTTAGCACTAAGGTGATTGTAAGTACCATACTTTAACATAGGCTTACGATCATCGTAGCGCTAAGATCGCTTTGAGGAACGGGGCCCATGTGCTGTTATTTCATGATACAGAATTTGTTACAGAAATTTACTGGATAATATATAGTAAAGCAGCCAGGACTTGTAGAGAGGTGAAAAAGACAATAATGTTCTCATAAGATGAGGTTAATGTCGCGTAAGATGATTTCACTTATATAGCAACGTGCATACACGTGTGTGGCTGCTTGGACTAGTCTAGACTTAAGCTGGTCTAATCGCGCTCGCCCACTGAGATACCATACCACAGTTTAACATGGATGTAGCAGGAAAGTTTTAAATAGTTTGTTATAACTGTTAGTATGTTATATCCGTGTTCGTAATGTCTGTGTTTGCTATAATCATGTTCTCCTGGATGCATCTTCACAAGGCAAGGGAATTAACTGACTTTAAAAGTCAAGCTTCCACGTGAAGATGACTGACTGTATGTGACATGTTTCTGTCTGTCAGAACCGACCTGTCCCAGCAATCACTCAGAGAGGTCAGTCACCGTGGCCGGACATGCAGGACGTCATCACGCAGTGCTTGCAGCAGATCCCAGACCACAGACCCTCGGTCAGTTACCATGGCAGCAAACATTACAAACATTGAATGTTTGTTTCACGAACCACTGATGCTGAGATGCAATTGAAATTTAATTTTTTCATTTTTGGAATTCGTAATTTATTATGGAATTGAAGTGGGACTTGAACCATTGAAATTTGAGTTTCTTTCAGGAAATATTTAGTACTTTTTCATTTAACATTTCAAAGAGACGGACCCTGTTCCACAAAGCGATCTTAACCCTAGAGTGATCATAGATCCACAGTTAGGCACAGGTTTACAAACATCATAGTGCTAGATCGCTTTAGGAAACAGCATCTTGGGTATAATGAATGTCTTGATAGAACTGGGGCCACATGTGGCCCAGTCATCTTTTGCAGTGCAGAGTTGCGTCCCTTGGGCAAGCAAGCAACCTATTATCTAGGGTTAGAATCCTGGTTTCTATGTTTGTCAGCACCATACCTGTGCTAGTGGGTTTCACCTAAGGGTAAAACCTTCAGACATATCACTTCATGCCTTTTAGCCACGTCAAGCTGACACGTTGTGATATCTAACTGGATTATTCCTCCAAGTGGCATTGAACCCATCTCACTCACTTAATCACTTGATGAACTTGTTTTGATTGATCGGGTGACCCAAATTGTTTGGCTATGTGAAAAATGTAAAGGCAATTTGAGTTTCCTATGTTGTAGTCCAGTGAGCTGGTGGAGAGGTTGTCATCGGCGGAACTGTTCTGTCTGAAGGATGTCATTCCAGTGTCTGTAGGCACCACAGTGGAGTGTATGGCACACCAGGTCAGTTCCAACCAACAGTCACACTGTCAGTAACACTCACAAGCAATCATAATACCGTATTCGATGTAATAAGCGCCCAGGGCGCTCTCAAAATTACAAATAGGGGGCTCTTATTAGAATATCACTTTGGTTAAAAAAACAGAGTTGAAAGATAAATTTTGTGGTTTATGCTGACAGTCTGAACTGTTTATATATGACAGATACATTTTTCCAGGATTTAATTGCCCATAATTAAGGGTGCATGTAACACACGAGTGCGTATTATACACGAATAAATAAGTCTTGTGTACATTGATAAATCGGTAGGGGGGCTAATTGGGATTGTTCACTTGCCAATATATTTGCAAATATCGCCGTGGGCGCTTATTAGAGCGGGGCGCTTATTACGTCGAATACGGTACAAGTCAAATAGACATTTTGGAATTACGCTTATGCTAATAACTACAATAACACCACTTACTCACTCACTGGATTGTCTGGTCCAGACTTGATTGTATACAGACTCCCGAATATTTCTGAGAGTGGCATTAAACCACAAACAAAGCTAAGTGGTTTCAGTTAATACTTGCCCTGGCTGATAGTGTGTTTTCTTACCGTGACAACAGAAGATACATGTAGTAGGTCAAACAGAAATATGAACATTTAGACATATAGCAATTAGCATTTTAATTAATAACATAAGAAATTAGGGTGAGGTTTCTAAATCTTGAATTAAAATTGAAACAAAACTGGAAACAAATATGAATTTAAAATAAGCATGTTTTCAAGCTAGCCAAGCATATTGTTTTCTTTTTTTTTTAGCTAAGGCAAAATTTGGGGGTTACCTTGGAAATACATTAATATATGTGAGGGTGAAGTCAGATGTTCTGAAATATTCTATATCTATCATTGGATTATGTAAACACTTCCTCAGGTACTGGGGGAGGACAATGTCCGCCTGTGGGTTGCCAGCGGTGACAGTGACTACATGCAACTCAGCTGGCTCAACCTCGTCAACTATCAAGATGACAGCCGGGGCAAGCTCAACCGCAAGTCTTTAGACTACAGTGTAAGTTATGTAACTTGATAAACCATTTTTTTTATGTACCAGCCTCACTTCAAAACACCCCCTTGGAAATTTCGGGCAGAAACATTTGCTGTGCAGAGTTGCGTCCCTTGGGCAATCCAGAAATTGATAATCATGGGTGCGAATCCGGTTCCCCCCGATTATGTTTCTAGGTTTGTCAGCACCATAGCCGCGCTTGTGTGTTACCCCATAGTGGTTCGTTATGCCGGTCAGTTCGTTATAAGGGCGTTCTTTATAAACATAGTTTTAGGCAACTGGAATACTGTTCAAGCGGCTTTAGACCCAACTCATTCACATACCACTTTGCATAGCGCTCAAAAATTCTGTACTGAGGTATAATGGCTCCTCAGCAATTGAAATATATTTGTTTTTAAGTGTGCTCCAGGGCACTCAACACAATATCTAGCTGTGCCCTTTGGAATTTAAGTGTGCCAACAAGAAGATTACTATTGATCCAGGGGCGGTTGGGTAGCCTAGTGGTTAAAGCTTTCGCTCGTCATGCTGAAGACCTGGGTTCGATTCCCGACATGGGTACATTGTGTGAAGCCCATTTCTGGTGCCCCCCGCCGTGATATTGCTGGAAAATTGCTAAAAGCGGCGTAAAACCATACTCACTCACTCACTATTCATCCATCTTCGAATTCAGTGAATGATATCTCAGCATGAGCTAGATAACATGCAGGTCTAATTTACAATCTTGCCACTACGACTTTAACACCCTTGGCATGTTAACAAGGAGTTGTGTGACTGCTGTTATATATGTGATGACTGGTTCCGCTCTCCAGGGCAGGGTCATGCGAGAGGGGAGAATCCTCTGCATCCTTCCCATAGATGAGGATCATGTACTGCTAGGCACACAAACAGGCAAGATCTGGGTGTTCAATGCAAGGGATTGTGATCTTAAACATTCCACAAGGAGGCTGCCAGACTCGGTCCTCTCTCTACACCTCATACACAGGTGGGTACTGTCATAGACGGAGTGGGGGTTGATGGTGGGGTGAGTTGATGGTTGATTGAATGGATGGAGGGGTGAATTGATGGTTGTTTGAATGGATGGAGGGGTGAATTGATGGTTGATTGAATGGATGGAGGGGTGAATTGATGGTTGATTGAATTGATGGAGGGGTGGGTTGATGGTTGATTGAATTGATGGAGGGGTGGGTTGATGGTTGATTGAATTGATGGAGGGGTGGGTTGATGGTTGAATGGAGGGATGGGTTGATGTTTGTTTGAATGGATGGAGGGGCGAGTTGATGGTTGGTTGAATGGATGGAGGGGTGATTGGATGGTTAATTGAATGGATGGAGGGTAGGGTTGATGGTGGGGTGGAATGATGGTTGATGTAGTGGATGGTAGGATGAGTTGATGGAGGGGTGGATTGATGGCGGGGTGAATGGATGGTATTGTCAGATGATGGTTGATTGAGTTGATGGAAGGGTGGATTGATGGTTGATTGAGGGGATGGAAGGATGAGTTGATGGAGGGGTGGATTGATGGTGGGGTGAATGGATGGTATGGTCAGTTGATGGTTGACTGAGTTGATGGAAGGGTGAGTTGATGGAGGGGTGGATTGATGGTGGGGTGAATTGATGGTATTGTCAGTTGATGGTTGATTGAGTTGATGGAAGGGTGAGTTGATGGAGGGGTGGATTGATGGTGGGGTGAATGGATGGTATTGTCAGTTGATGGTTGATTGAGTTGATGGAGGGGTGGATTGATGGTGGGGTGAATGGATGGTATTGTCAGTTGATGGTTGATTGAGTTGATGGAAGGGTGAGTTGATGGAGGGGTGGAATGATGGTGGGGTGAATGGATGGTATTGTCAGTTGATGGTTGATTGAGTTGATGGAAGGGTGAGTTGATGGAGGGGCGAGTTGATGGTTGGTTGAATGGATGGAGGGGTGATTGGATGGTTAATTGAATGGATGGAGGGTAGGGTTGATGGTGGGGTGGAATGATGGTTGATGTAGTGGATGGTAGGATGAGTTGATGGAGGGGTGGATTGATGGTGGGGTGAATGGATGGTATTGTCAGTTGATGGTTGACTGAGTTGATGGAAGGGTGAGTTGATGGAAGGGTGAGTTGATGGAGGGGTGGATTGATGGTGGGGTGAATTGATGGTATTGTCAGTTGATGGTTGATTGAGTTGATGGAAGGGTGAGTTGATGGTGGGGTGAATGGATGGTATTGTCAGTTGATGGTTGACTGAGTTGATGGAAGGGTGAGTTGATGGAGGGGCGGATTGATGGTGGGGTGAATTGATGGTATTGTCAGTTGATGGTTGACTGAGTTGATGGAAGGGTGAGTTGATGGAGGGGTGAATTGATGGTGGGGTGAATGGATGGTATTGTCAGTTGATGGTTGACTGAGTTGATGGAAGGGTGAGTGGATGGAAGGGTGAGTTGATGGTGGGGTGAATGGATGGTATTGTCAGTTGATGGTTGACTGAGTTGATGGAAGGGTGAGTTGATGGAGGGGTGGATTGATGGTGGGGTGAATGGATGGTATTGTCAGTTGATGGTTGACTGAGTTGATGGAAGGGTGAGTGGATGGAAGGGTGAGTTGATGGTGGGGTGAATGGATGGTATTGTCAGTTGATGGTTGACTGAGTTGATGGAAGGGTGAGTGGAAGGAAGGGTGAGTTGATGGTGGGGTGAATGGATGGTACGGTCAGTTGATGGTTGACTGAGTTGATGGAAGGGTGAGTGGATGCCGAGGTGGGGGATGGTAGGGATTACCTATATGATACCATGTATGTTCATATTCTTATGTGAAGATAGTGTTTTTGTAGATGATTATAGGGATAATGTTGATTACAGTAATGACATTTGTTGACGTGTGTTTCAGGGCCGAGGACAATCTGGTGCTGGCAGGTTTAGCCAATGGTGGGATCAAATTCTGTCCTGTCTCAGAGATTATAGAGGTGAAAACATTATTGTTATGCAGCCCTTTGTGAATGGCCATGATGCAAGGTTTTGTCAGAATTTGACTGCTTCTTTGTTTTTGAAACCATGTGGTGCTTGGACATATCACACATATCGCATGAAGGATATCTCCTTTAAAACCCAGGGATTATTTCTGCGATATTCATGTCAGGTCATCCTCAAGGTCATAGCGTGAAAAAAATTACATGTACCACCTAACTCAAATTATTCGCTGTAGGTCAATGAAACTTGGGACAGGTCTTCCTAAGAGAGGGACCTACATGTGAGGTCAAGGTCACAATGAAGGTCATTCACCTTGTGCATGTAATTGTCATACAAGTATTCAAAATTATGTGGTAACAATCTTCCGAGATTGAGGAGCATGTTCGGTAGTTTTTTTATTCACCGAAACCCGTCGATCATCGGTTTATATCACATATATTCATCATGTACCAGTATAGTGTATAGCCATTGGGAGTGGTCATGAAATACTTATGACTGATACTAGGGTTTAATTTATTCTCAAGATGATGTTGACAAAAACGTAAAAGAATTACTTAGTAGATATTTTAGCGTTTGCTCATCGGATGACATACCAAAGTTTGATTGGCAACATGGGTTTAATGGTTAAAGTGAAGGACATGATATTACTGGAATGTTGTTCCTTCCCTCTGTTCCCTCTGCCGTGATGGGGAACGGGTGACCAAGTTGTCTTAGGCGCCGCAATTCACGTTGCAGAGTTGCATCCCTTGGGTACGCCAGAAACCTATGATCGTTAGTTTGAATTCTGATTCGCTCCGATTATGTTTCTAGGTGTGTCAGCACCATACCCATTGGCGTGGGTTTGACCAAAGTGGTAAACGACTGAGACTGGCTTTTCTCCCACTGTAAGCTGCTGACACGCCGAGATAGAACTGAAATACTGTTCTAAGCGGTGTTGAACACAACTCACACACTCCAAAGCTTAGCTACAGTGGCAAATAGGTCCAGGGCCAACTTGCACAAAGCGATCTTAGCGCTACAACTATTGTAAGCCTATGTTAAAGTATGGGAGTTACGATCATCTTAGCGCTAAGATCGCTTTGTGCAAATAGGTCCAGATACTTATTGCATCTCCAATAAATGGAGAAATTACCGAATGTTACCTTGTGCGACATCTTTCAGGATACTTAAAGTAACAGAATTCTGAAGGACCATTCTGAAGGTTTTCTTGTAAACAATAACCAATAAACAACCCCGAACTTACTCAGCTCTGCTTGCCTTCTTCCTTTTCTCCCTCACTCACTCTACCATCAATGGCTATACCCCCAGGAGCCGGACACAACCCTGCTGGGGATGAACCTAGGCAAGTCCCACGAGCCGGTGCGCTGTCTGGTGCAGGTCGACAAGCGGATCATAGCTTCCTGTGGCACGAAAATTGTCATTTTCATCAGCTCCAGGAACGGTCTTGGAATAGAAAAGGAATTTGATACAGTTAAAACCAGGTCTGTGTTAGCAGTTTTTACATGGAATCTCAGGATTGACTGTCCAACTCAATAACTTACAGACAGCCATCATAGAGCTGCCATTTCGCGAGTGGCACAACATACAAAACAAACTGATCTAACATCCAAGTTAATTAATGTGAGCTGCAGAGCCTAGTGGAGTAAATGCTGAATGTCTTGAGGACGGCCATCTTTCCTGGGGTTCAGGAGGGCACAATGGCTGCAGTTTGTGGACATTACATAGCTATAGATCACCTGGTACGATCAGAGCGACCAGACTGATATGGATACCATGCTGCTCACACTATCAACCACCAGTTTGTCTGCTCGATTTTGTCTGCTCATGATGTAGCAGGCTGTCTCAGATGTAAAACATTCTTTGGACAGAGATGAATCCTTTTTGCCAAGGCTACCTTCAGACATGAGGAAGGGGCAGTTGGCTGGCATAGTGATTAGTGAGTGAGTGAGTAGGGTTTTACGCCGCTTTTAGCAATATTCCGGCAATATCACGGCGGGGGACACCAGAAATGGGCTTCACACATTGTACCCATGTCGGGAATCAAATCCGGGTCTTCAGCATGACGAGCGAACGCTTTAACCACTAGGCTACCCAACCGCCCCGCATAGTGATTAAAGTGATTACCATGATCATATTGTCGACATGGCGGCCTGTGTTCCATGGTGTCCTGAGCTGTAAAAACTTCATCCATGATGTGAGTTATGGATGTATGTTCGACTTCATGTATTGTCATGACACAGGTGAAGCCCAACATGCTGCGACAAATATGGTAACATTCAGGTGTTAAGGAGTAGCCTTGTGGTTAAAGTGTTGGATTGTACCACCGAAGGCCAGGGTTCTATCATTGTTCATTGTTTCATGATAATGCTGAAATATACTACTCAAAAGAAGTTAAGGACCACTTGATTCTTTCATTTTACCATAGTAAATCTGTCATGGTGGTCCTGAACTTCTTTTGCATAGTATATTACCACAATTTGCTTAAAACCCTTCTCCCTCACACACCCACTCCGATCTACAGACACAGTTGGTATTGTTTCTGTGATGCAGCTTGTATGTTCCAGTGGCAAGGTAAGGTCCCCGATCTGCACAATGGCAGTGGGACACAACATCTACCTGTCTCGACGTCGGTCTGATGTGCTGGAGGTGTGGGACCACAAAAAGGAGAGACAGAGGGGCTCTTGCAGCATAGCAGAGACGTTCAGGTGAGGACAGCGACGTTCAGGTGAGGGCAGAGACGTTCAGGTGAGGGCAGAGACGTTCAGGTGAGGACAGAGACATTCAGGTGAGGACAGCGACGTTCAAATGGGCAGCAACGTTCAGGTGAGGGCAGAGACGTTCAGGTGAGGGCAGAGACGTTCAGGTGAGGACAGCGACGTTCAGGTGAGGACAGCGACGTTCAGGTGAGGACAGAGACATTCAGGTGTGGACAGCGACGTTCAGGTGAGGGCAGCGATGTTCAGGTGAGGGCAGAGACGTTCAGGTGAGGGCAGAGACGTTAAGGTGAGGGCAGCGACGTTCAGGTGAGGGCAGCGACGTTCAGGTGAGGGCAGAGACGTTCAGGTGAGGGCAGAGACATTCAGGTGAGGGCAGAGACGTTCAGGTGAGGGCAGCGATGTTCAGGTGAGGGCAGCGACGTTCAGGAGAGACGTTCAGGTGAGGGCAGAGACGTTCAGGTGAGGGCAGAGATGTTCAGGTGAGGGCAGAGACGTTCAGGTGAGGGCAGAGACATTCAGGTGAGGGCAGAGACGTTCAGGAGAGACGTTCAGGTGAGGGCAGAGATGTTCAGGTGAGGGCAGAGACGTTCAGGTGAGGGCAGAGACATTCAGGTGAGGGCAGAGATGTTCAGGTGAGGACAGCGACGTTTAGGTGAGGGCAGAGACGTTCAGGTGAGGGCAGCGACGTTCAGGTGAGGGCAGAGACGTTCAGGTGAGGGCAGCGACGTTCAGGTGAGGGCAGCAACGTTCAGGAGAGACGTTCAGGTGAGGGCAGAGACGTTCAGGTGAGGGCAGAGACGTTCAGGTGAGGGCAGAGACGTTCAGGAGAGACATTCAGGTGAGGGCAGAGACGTTCAGGTGAGGGCAGAGACGTTCAGGAGAGACGTTCAGGTGAGGGCAGAGACGTTCAGGTGAGGGCAGCGACGTTCAGGTGAGGGCAGAGACGTTCAGGAGAGACGTTCAGGTGAGGGCAGAGACATTCAGGTGAGGGCAGAGACGTTCAGGTGAGGGCAGAGACGTTCAGGTGAGGACAGCGACGTTCAGGAGAGACATTCAGGTGAGGGCAGAGACGTTCAGGTGAGGGCAGAGACGTTCAGGTGAGGGCAGAGACGTTCAGGAGAGACGTTCAGGTGAGGGCAGAGACGTTCAGGTGAGGGCAGAGACGTTCAGGTGAGGGCAGAGACGTTCAGGAGAGACGTTCAGGTGAGGGCAGAGACGTTCAGGTGAGGGCAGAGACGTTCAGGTGAGGTCGTCATGGAGTCATGGGAAACGATGTTTGATATTGGAGTCGGGTTGGCGGTGGTGGGGTGGTTGTGGACTGGGATTGTGCATTGAGACTAAATATTTTTGTAACTAAAGCTGCAAACCCAGATATTTCTTTAATTACATCTAGGGAGCCTAAATAAAAAAAATATGCCACAATGTTTATTTGAGGCTGACAATTTTCTTCTTTTCAACAGTCTGAAGCATGATTATTCTTTTGTCTGCATTTTCGGGGACAATATGTTATTTTGGATGAAGTCCAAAGAACCGCTGGCATGCCTAAGTGATGCAGCACACCAAGTTGCCGTGCCTTAGACAAGTAGGACAACTGGGCCCTACAGAATGAATTGATAGCTTGAGTCTATTTTACACCACCATTACTGTTAAAACCATCAGTTTTCCCAATCAGAATTCCAACGGATGAAGCAAGAGTAACGTCCATACTCTACCTACGAGACAGTCGAGCATTGTGGGTAGGGACTGGCGGCGGTCACGTGGTGGTGGTGGATGCAGTGTCCCAGGCTCCGATCATGCAGACCGCACGACACACAGCCTCAATAAGATCACTGATGGCTATCAAGTCTCCAGGTAGGAGAATATTTCCCTGTGTGGTAGGCCTTCAGGGTGGCGGGGTAGTGGTTACAGTGATTGCTCAGCACACTGAAGTATCCCTGTGTGGTAGGCCTTCAGGGTGGCGAGGTACTGGTTACAGTGATTGCTCGGCACACTGAAGTTTCCCTGTGTGGTAGGCCTTCAGGGTGGCGGGGTAGTGGTTACAGTGATTGCTCGGCACACTGAAGATTCCCTGTGTGGTAGGCCTTCAGGGTGGCGGGGTACTGGTTACAGTGATTGCTCGGCACACTGAAGTTTCCCTGTGTGGTAGGCCTTCAGGGTGGCGGGGTACTAGTTACAGTGATTGCTCAGCACACTGAAGACCTGGGTTTGATTCCACACATTAGTGTAATGTGATGGAGGTGCCTCCATCCTCCATTATCCAGTGAAGCATTACTGCATTAAACCCAACTCACTCATACACTTTCAATCATGGGTGTTTGCCCAGTTAAAACATGTCCTGTGTTGTTTTTGTACAGACCACCATCATTTAGCTGGAATATTACTGAGCGTGGTGTTAAACAACAAGCAAACAAACAAAACTAACAACTGCTTCATTCTTGTTTCAGCCTTCCTGCCATTCTGTGTAGTCCTGAGTGGAGGACTTGGATTCCGACACAGACCTGAGGCAGAAGTAAAGAAAGGTGGGAGTAGTATTCCAGTAACAGTCTGAATATGCATTTGGGATGTTGGGGGATGCAGACTGCAGATTAATTCAAACTTATCATACATTTTGTTTCCAAAGCATAACTCGTAAACTCTTGAATCACAGGCATGTGCTGAAACGGTGCATTTTGTTATTGAGGATTTCTTCACACATCTGTTCCCCTAGCATGTTACAGAAGGTGACATTAGCTGTCAGTTTGTCGGCCGTCTGCACACCCACTTCTTGTCCAGAGTAGAAGGGCGGTGGGGTAGCCTTGTGGTTTAAGCGTTCACTTGTCATGCCAAAGACCCGGGTTCGATTCCCCCCATGCTATTGAGGATATCTTCACACATCTGTACCCCCAGCATGTTACAGAAGGTGACATTAGCTTCAGTTTGTCGGCCGTCTGCACACTCACTTCTTGTCCAGAGTAGATGGTGAGATGAAATTGGGTTTAACGTCGCATCCAAGATTATTGCGCTTATATAGCGACGTGCATGCATGTGTGTGTGTGTGTGTGTCTGCTTGTACTAGTCCGGACTGATACCAATATAAAGTGCTAGCACACTGAGATATCATGCCGCAGTTTAACATGGATACCCCACTCAGACACAATATACAGACTCCGAGCCGACCAGTCCTTGTTTTAGCCCTTTAATGCCGAGCGCCAGACAGGGTAACAAAAAGTACCATCTTTTAACATCTTTTGGTATGATGCGGTCGGGGATCGAACCCCGGACATTCCGCTCTACTACTAGACCACGGATGCGGTCCTTTCCAGAGGAGACGGGCGGTGGGGTAGCCTAGTGGTTAAAGCGTTCGCTCGTCACGCTGAAGACCCAGGTTCGATTCCCCACATGGGCACAATGTGTGAAGCCCATTTCTGGTGTCCCCCACCGTGATATTGCTTGAATGTTGCTAAAAACGGCGTAAAACCATACTCATTCAGTCAATCGGTCACTCACTCACTCACTCAAGAGCAGAACTAAAAAACTGTTCACTATTTCTTCATGATTAAACATTTCACATATGTCATCAGGTGGTGGACTGGTGCCTTTTGCAATTTAGGGATAATCTTTTAGGTTTGCCTTTGATGGAAACAAGTTGGATTAAGTTTTAGTTGGGACTGTGGTTTGCTTCTGGAGCATGTCACTCCCTATTTCTGCATGAAACTTGCATTAGTATCAACCAGATGGTTAACAGGTGCCATTGGCTATTGAGGGTTTTAAATGTTTATATTTTGGGGGTATTTTTCTCATGGATAAGTTGGACTGACACTCAGTTGTGTTCCTGGAACAATTCTCTCAAAATCCTCCATTTCTTCATGAAAGTGTGCACAAATGTCAACCAGATGGGAAACAGACAGTGTTTGGTTGGCATTAAAAATGTTTGAGATATGTGTCGCATGAGACTGCTGAATGTTTGCTCACCATGTGATGTTTATCCCAGATGGCCAGTATGGATGTATCGCAGTCTGGGATGCAGAGTTCCCGCAGATTGTGCGACAGTTTGAAGAAGACCGGAAGAAAAGACAGGAGCTGGAGAACAACATGAAGAAGCAAAGAAGGAAAGAATCCATGTAGACCTTCCTGCTTTGGTCTCAACTGAGATGTGGGCACGTCCAGGCAGATATTTATTTCCAGAAACTGTGATACACTGATACCGAAGACACTTGTTCATCAGGATCAGTAAACAATAGCCTTATATTTTACCAATGTGCCAATAACAATACAATATGTCCATGTGTACTGTCACAACAACTCTGTTAGTGTGAATGTCAGGTTATGTATGAAACTTTTAACAAGTGAATGTGGCACGGTGACCCAGTTGTCAAAGGTGCTTTTGATCGTTGGTTTGAATCCCTGATTTGCCCTCATTATGTTTCTAGGTTTGTCAGCACCCGTTGTGGGTTGCACTGACATAATGTTCAAAGCGTGTTATACCAACACTGTGAAAAAAATATTGAAGAAACAACCAGGATTATTTCTTAAAGGGGAAGTGTACACGCAAAAATCACTTTCTTTCTTTTTCTAAACAAAACGCAATTTTAGAATTAATTAGTATCTGTGTTTGAAAATATACACTCATTTTTTTCACAGTGAAAGTAGGAAGCTCACAATAGTGTGAAAATGATATACCGTTATGAGGCCTTCGTTTTTCGAGCTAAACATGCCTGAGTTATCCCCCTTAGATTATGACGTAATTGGTGCCAATTCAACTGGGTCCCTGTCTATTCTCAACGCAAAAGATATCAAGTACCAGTTTGCGGTAAAACAACATGGCCTACGACACACTCCGGCGCAGTGGTGACTCAGCATAACACTATGCTGGCTGGCATCTTAGACGCTAGAATCACACAACTAGACCTACACCACGTGAAGCGGCTCTAACAAAGCATGATGACGTCATAATGTTTATCAATTGGCACCAATGACGTCATATTGCAAGGGGCATAAGCCATGGTGTTTTTGTTGTGGAAATAGAACACTTGGTAAATGTGAAAAATATAAATCGTTTTAATGCGAAAAATATGTTAATTAATTGTGATATTTTTATATTTTTGTCTATGACACTTCTAGGTTAACACTTTTAATGTGGAAAAAGTACAAGAAAAAATAGGTTAATTTCCGTGTGAACTTGCCCTTTAAGTAACAAAACATCTCATTCAAATATATATGAATATTTCTATTCATGTTAAAGGAGATTTTGGATTTACTGCAAAAAACGAAATCCATCATTCTTTTAAGAAAGCAAATTTATACATACGTGTATATTAACGGGAAAAAGTAACTGTGCTTCATATAAAGTGGTGTAAATGTTGTGTGGTGTTATTGAAAATAACAACATAATATTTGGCCTTGATTCATCTGATCAATGTTGTATCATAACAAGTTAATTGACGATACCCAGACCTGGTGACAGGAGACAGTGTGACACGCCCAGGAGGAGGGGTGGTGTAACAACTCAATAAACAATGTCAGTATCGGGTGTGACCACCATTTGTGTTCCTCCAGGGGAGGCAGCAGCGTCGCATTGAAGACACCGGATGATTGAAAACAGCCTGGGGGATATTACTCCAAATGCCAACTCAAGATTGGCCCAACTGAGCTAGTACATGTATTACCGGCTGGTTCAGATCCAGTTGTAGGCATCGTTCCATCTCACCCCAGACATGTTCATTGGGGGAGAGGTCTGGACAAACAGCTGGTCATGGCAGTATTGCAGTGGTATTCTGACTCAAGAAGTCTGTTGCATTGATTTTTCAGCAAGCCGTGACATTGTGTAAGCATTATTTCAGTTAAACAAAAGTTTTTTAGTGAGCACCTGATAGCTAATCAATCATTGAGTGCTGTTCACATTCCCAGACCATGTGTGTATGATGCTCCCAACAAACACACAAACATCCAAAATGTGTGCCTAGCGTGAACATGCATGACCATATTGTGAATCACGACCTTGAAGGAAATGTCTTCATGAATATTTGTAGAAAGATATATTATTTAATTTCAAAATAAATTTTATTTTATTGAACTTTATATGAAGCACAGTTACCTTTTTCTGTTAGCAATATATATATATATATATATATAGATAGTTCATAATTTGTAACCAAAACTATTTTAACAGGCATTTCTTGCTGAGTTGTGCAATAAGTATTTTGTTCTTGCATTGCAGAAGACTCTGATCACTTTATTTTAGATATACATTTATATATTCAGGATTTTCAGCATTTATGTAACAAATGCATTCTTCATACAGTACATGGAAACATTGCATGTTTTGTTATGCGATATACATCTCAAATTGTTTAAAGAGTTGGATAGTACTATCAGAGGATAATACCTCTGATGTGACTAAGTTCCACCAGGGGTTGTATGATGATATATGGGCCTCCTTCAAGATTTTCTGTCAGTAACATGGTGATATCCCCACAGATGCAACGGTGCAATTCGTGGTGGATTACTTGCTCCACCTGAGAACAAAGAAGCACCTTAAGGGTGGCCATATGGCTACGTACCATCAGCCCTGGGGGACGTTCAAAGACAATAATAATATATAGAGGGGGGTGGGGAGGGTGTCCGCCATCAATACTGTCTGTGCTGCATTACCCAAGGGCCTTCTCATGACTGATGTCTTCCTCCCCACTGTACCATCAGCCCTGGGGGACATTCAAAGACAATAATAATATATAGAGGGGGGTGGGGAGGGTGTCCGCCATCAATACTGTCTGTGCTGCATTACCCAAGGGCCTTCTATGACTGATGTCTTCCTCCCCACTGTACCATCAGCCCTGGGGGACGTTCAAAGACAATAATAATATATAGAGGGGGGTGGGGAGGGTGTCCGCCATCAATACTGTCTGTGCTGCATTACCCAAGGGCCTTCTATGACTGATGTCGTCCTCCCCACTGTACCATCAGCCCTGGGGGACGTTCAAAGACAATAATAATATATAGAGGGGGGTGGAGGGTGTCTTCCGACACAAGATCAAGAGGGCCACGGAGGTCATGTTGGGCAAAACAGTTACTGAAGGGGCTGATAGATTGTCATTCATTTCCAGTAAGGACTTGGGGAGTAAGGAGCTATGTGCCATGTGTAATGCAGGATAAGTGAGTAACATGACCATGATACTCTGATTATGAAATTAGTCCATATTCCAATCTGGAGATTCCAATTATTGCTGCTTATTAGCTATTCTGACAAAATGGCATCCATTCTGATGCAGATGCGGGAAGTCTTCCAACCCATCTGCACACTTCTTGACTCTCGTTCTGTCTGTACCCAGCTGGTAATCAGGATGTAGAGTTATGTACTTACCAAGATGTCGCCATGTTATACTCTCAACACTGAGTCTGACAGTAGCCTTTTGTCCTGTGGCGTGTCCTTTGTCACATGATCAATGGATGGAGATGGAATTCCAGTGTGAACATGATAAATAATTGTCATTGTTATTTTTGTCACATCAGCTAGAATTTAAGTTCTATTAATAACATTGTGCAGGCAAAATAAGAAGTTGAGTTTAGGTTTGCTTCAGGTGGAAGCTTTTGATCTGTGTTGCTGAGTACTAAGTCAGGCTTTTGTGCAATGCCTACCAGGGTGTATTTACCCATCCATTGGTCGATTGATATTTTCTCCAGTAAAAAATAAAATGTCATTTTGATCTGTCACCTTCCACAGTTCATTGTGTATGATATTTGACGTATGTATAGATATTAATATTTTTTAATATTTACGTGATCATGTGAAATATTTACTTACTATAATACCGACATGTTTCGTCCACTTTCCCATTGTATTTGACATGTTCTGGGGGTGCCAAATGGATACATTAGTTTAGTCCTCAACAGTTCATATTTGTTTAATGTTTAATCCTAGCATTACCTTATTGATGATTTTTAAATATTCTGTATATAAAGATGGTTTGAAGGATGAAGCCATGTTGCTATGGTACAGTGTAACCATGGTAACCTGTATGCATTTCTAAACATATTTAATTCTTATCAACAATCACAAAAGTTTGTAAATTTAATGTAACAAACTGCCCAGAAGCAGGTTCCTGACAAAACATCGTATTTTTAGCTTACCTGAATGAATGTCAATTGTGCTTTTGTTGTGCCCTGTTTGTCAACCATCCATCATCTGTTGTGCATTTTAAACATCTGCTCAGACATTCCAAAACATTCAAGAGGTTTGAATCCAATCTGCCGCAGCAGCCATATTTAAAAAAATATTTACTATTTTATTCAGAATTAAATTCAGTGTTAAAAAAATATTTACTATTTTATTCAGAATTAAATTCAGTGTTGGTTTAGTGGCAACACATATATTCTGTTGGTTTTTTATTCAATATTTAAAATTTAGACCTTGTTTTGACCATGCTTTTAAATTCTCTCAAAAATCCTATTTGGCTGAGGAAGCAGAACTTTGCAGTGTATAATTCTCCTCATGATGACATCATGTTTTGTTCAAATCATTAGATTTTAGTTTTGGAATGTAGTCCTTAGTATTAATGCAGAATATTTGTGAAGATCTATACTGAAAGCAGGGGCACGGGTGGCCAAGTCATCTAAGGCGCCACGATTCGCTGTGCGGAGTTGCGTCCCTTGGGCACGCCAGAAACCTATGATTGTGGGTTCGAATCCCGGTTCGCCCTGATTATGTTTCTAGGTTTGTCAGCACCATACCCATGCTCGTGGGTTTCACCGAAGTGGTAAACATCTGAGACCTGCATCAACTGGTGCAGGAATTTCTCTCACAGAATAATGTGAGCAGAACTGTAGGCTCAGGGGTTATCGGCTAATATTTGCAAGAAATGCTTCAGGATTGATATACTGACACTTTAAGGAGGGTGGGTTATTCTTTGAACTGAATTTTGTTTCCTTTGGCGATTTTTTCACAAGTTTTCGTTTATGCTTGCCCGATATATCAGGGGCAGATGACCATATCAGAATAAGCATGTCCGTCCTGGCGTCCATGGTTGCTCTACAAAACAGAAAAAACCTTAACTAATAAGAAAATGTTCCTTTTTCCAAAAAACTGTTTTGTCATCACCCAATACTTGATCATCCAATGGTCTCCATTCTATTTTAAATACACAGAACATAGTCACCACCACAGCTGCATTTTGACTCTTGATTCAAATGGCACGATGCTAATAATAGCCATCCAGTCAAATCCACAATTTGTGCTTAGAGATGGGAGCACTAGAGGTGGTGTCATCCCTTCCCATACGAAGCTGAGGAAGTGCTTAGGCCCAGGATATTTATTTTTATAGAATGGAGATATAATACCCTGGATAATCAAGGATGATGCAGGTTGTCCAAGCCTTGCACTTCTATACTCAAAGAAATATCTTTGCCAAATGTTGACTATTGAAACGTTGTATTTCATGTATTAGCTCTAGACCACTAGCTCCTTCGTCTTTGACCTTCATTAACTAACTGAAATATATTTATGTGTTTGTTAAATG